TAATATCACCATTTGGTTTGTGTCTTGATAACTCAACGTTCTTTCTCATTATTCGCTTTTGATACTTAGGTCAGAAAAGAAAACAAGATGGAGATTCTGGTGAGTGCTTTTGGCCGAGAATCTGGTTATTGATCATTTTAGAGTGATGTGCAATAAATCAAAAATATTGACTTTGATCACTCTATCTCCTTTATCAGAGTCACCCTCTAAAAAAGCTCGTCCAAGCATGAATAGAGATACTCTTATGGACGCGATTACAGAAGCAGGACTTGTAACGAAAGGGATAGTGGATGGTAGGCCTGCCATCTCGCGTCTAAACTCGAAAGAGAGGGTCAAGCTGCTTTCGTACATGGGGAAGACAGCAGTAGATAGTATTTACTACAGCATTATTAGCGTGGCTCGCGAGCTCCGAAATTCTGGTGGTATCAAGGATTCCAAAATATTGACTGCCCCTGAGGGTTGTGTCTTCCCTGTTGCCGGAACAAGGCATCTTTATATCAGAGATGAGTATAAAGAGCTTTATGACCATATTACATCCGGATTAAGTACCCGTCATGAAGTACCTCGTTTGAACCGCCTCTTTATCACTGGAACGCCTGGAATTGGGAAGTCAGCCTTTTTGGTCTATTTTGCCATCCGCCTCCTTGCCGAACACGATGAGGAAAATCCACCGATTATTATTTTCCAAGAGGAGCAGCATACCAGTTGTTATGTTTATGGAGGAACAACTTGCCAACGTTATGGGGAGAGAGTAGATTTCAAAGATTTCCTTGACCAACGTGAAACGTGGTATTTAGTTGATAGTGGTAAAAATCCTCAACCAGGTAAAGCCAGGACGATATTTTCAGCATCGCCAAGAACTCTCTATGGGCATTACGATGAACTCACCAAGGAAAATACACCAGATAACTACTATCATATGTCACTCTGGAGTCTGGCTGAGCTTAAGGAATGTAGAACCAATGTAAAGTTTTTTCATGTAGTGAGTGAAGCATTTTTGGAGGAGCTTTTTTACTACTTGGGGGGCGTGCCAAGACAGGTTCTACAGTGTCCAGCCAATGTACTATCCAAAAATCAAAATAATACTGAGCGTGCTAAAGAAGCTGCGTTATTCCGCGTCAATGATGCCATTAGTACACTCAAGAAACCAGCAAATCTTCTAAGGCTCTTTGCACGAGGAAAAGATGCGAGTGGATTTAGTCGTTTACTCCATAGAGTTCCTACTTCTGACCACCTCCACTTCCACCTGGTATGGGCATCTCGTTGGGTCGAATCACAGATTATGGACAAAATAAAAGATAACACTTGGGTCGATGTGTTGGCGAGACTTGTCATAGGCGGAGAGGATATAGCTAAAGGCCCACTGTTTGAAATCTATGCTCATCGCTTATTTCGACATGGTGATATTAGATTTCCCTTTAGGGATCTCCAGTCAGGTGAAACAGGAGTTCTTGATTTTCCAGCAAATCCAGAAGAGGTGTTTATCCGGACTTCAGAGGAATTATCAGGGCTCACTCAAGCAGCTGGCAAGTTGTTTGTACCAGAACATTCTAAATTTCCGTGCATTGATTTTGCATTGGGACCCAACGAGCTATTTCAGGTCACAGTATCAGAGAAGCATCCGATCAAGCAAGCACCATTCAAGGAGATGATTGATTGTATTACTGGACCCTGCTTGAAGGGAGACCAATCAAAGTCGAAGGGAGACCGATCAAAGTCGAAGGGAGACCGATCAAAGTCGAAGGGAGACCGATCAAAGTCGAAGGGAAGTGATGATATTTTCCTCTATTTTGTGGTGCCAGGAGACGTATATAACGATTTTAAAGTTCAGAACTTTCTTACCGCCAGAAATACGGTCGTCAAGAAGCCATATAAATGCTTAAAACATGTAAGACAGCGTGTCATAAAAATCGACATCGAAGCTGCATATTCAGGAGGATCAGCCGGTACGAATCTGAAGAATTAAATCGAATACCAATCAAGTGGATGAAATTTTGTCTTTTTTTAAAAAAAAGCATTATACCCATTCCTTGAGAAATTTTTACAATGGTTCATTCTTTATGAATGAAGCCATCATTATCCACTTACCTTCTAGACGAATAAATAGAGCGGTTTAATCCGTCCTCCCTTCTACTGGGGCATTTAGAACTATAAAGCTGTGATCATTATGCGATCTTGTGTGCAAGAAAAGGCAGGATTTTGTGATACTATTATCAAAGAGTTTTGTAAAAACGGATAGAGATGAAGAATCCTGTGGAGAACCCAGTGAGAGTCTGATGATGAGACCCAAAACCATATTATTATCACCAGGACAGCTGGCATAGGAAATTATCCTTTCTCGTATGCTTTGTCATCTGGATGCTTGCCACTTGCGAAAGACCTATCAATTATCATCATCCAGGGCGCCAAAACGTTTACCGGGAGCTAGGATGACAGCTCCACTCTAAAGACATAAATGTCGTTTTAGCCCCATGGTGCGCGTGCACGGGATGGCAACCTGTGGCCAATGAGATCATATTAGTTGTATGTTCGGCCAATTTACCCTTTTTACTTGTCCGAAGGTAGAATGACGCCTAGCCAATGGATGCTATTGCAAGTGTGTCCACAGGTCCTTGGAGAAGTCCATTGAGGAAACTCGGTTCCATCCAGGACAGATTTATTCCTAGCGTTCTTCACAAAAGTAGCAGAATTGCTTGGTGGAGTTGGCTTTAATTGCCTTGACAAGCTCCTGCAAGATTGGTTCGACAATCTAATCAGGGTCCTTTCGGAGCGGCATCAAAGCAACTCTATGTTTTTGGTTGTTTTGAACGAGGCGCAGGATGTGGGGAGGGGAGGCTAAATACCAGTTTATTAATAACGACGACACTATGCGACCAATATTATCAGCATTCTTTCATGGATTGGAGGGTTTATCAGAGAATTTAGCACGAATTTGCATAGTTCCTTGCGGGATAGGCTTTTGTATTTATGATCCTGCTTGGGTTAAGAGAACTGGCAAAGCTTCAAGGAATATCGAGAAGTTCTCGATGACTCCCCTACGTCTGGCACAAAGGGCACACATTTTGAGTATTTCAGTCCCGCTTTGTTTAATTTCAATCTTCCAGAATTATAACAATGAACGAATTCTTGGATACTCACTGTAACAAAGACTCAATACATGAATCCAAGTTAATCTCGCTCTTTTTTGTTTCCAAAAGAGAACCCATCTGGACCAGATATCGTCTTTGTACTAGAATCGGAGGGTAAATATTATCCTGGTTCCGTACAATCAAAAATCGGCGATAAGGTCAAGAATTAAGGATGCCCACAATACAACTTGCCATAATTGCATCAAAGAACACCTCTCATCACCGTCTTCTCTCGGCTTTTGCTCGAATGGCATATCCTTGTTGCTGTTGTTTAGGCCTTACTTATCACGCTGCCTTATCATGTTGTCTTATCACGAACAGGACGATTATTCGGTAGCTAAAGTCAAAGAAGCCCCTGTCATCAAAGACAAACGAATAGAAACGACGTACTCAATATTAGCTTGTTGAACTTCCTTGAAAGTGCAAGGGAGTCCTTCAAGAAGTCAGAATTGACCCGAGTTGTGGGGGATGAGGGAGAAGGAAGCAAGCCCAAAGAACCACAGGCAAGGAGGACATCAAGTGAATTGTCGATAAAGCTACAGCTATGGAAAATAAGGAAGAGCTGAGCAAACCCAGCGGATCAAATAAAAGAAAAAGTGCAAGCGGAGGACGACAAGCCCAATAGGTCAAGCAGGGATAAGGGACCAAGGAAAAAGTAGCGATCGCTTCTTTTACTTCTTTTTACTCGCCATTGTTTATGACAATGGCACAGACACAGTTTTGTAATATAGCACTAATAGATAAATTAAAATATCGCTATTCAATAAACCTGAGCAAGGAGAAGTGACCACACCAAGCGGATTGCCGCAGCTGCATCAGAATTTTCTCAAGCAAGTGGCAAGTTGTTTCTATTGTCTATTCCTATCTTTCCACCCATAAGTTGTGTGTTGGGGCCCGACAAGCCATTCCAGGTCACATCAGAGGAGCATCCGATCAAGCAAGCATCATTCAAGGAGATGATTGATAATATTTACTGGATCATGCTTGAAGAGAAACCGATCAAACCTCGGAGAAAAGTGACAATATCACATTCCTCCGTTCCATGGTCCCAGGCGACATACACGTCAAGCTTAAAGTTTAGGAGCTCGTTATCAACAACGATCAGAGTGTTAAGGCAACACCTAGATATTTAAAACATGCGGGACAGCATGTCATAAAAACTCGCATCAATACCGCATATGCAGGAGGATCGCCGAGGTTCAAGCATGAAGAAAAGAGTCGAATGTCAATCAAGTGAAAGGAATTTTGTCTTGATTGATATAAAAGAAAACGAAAGGAATAATAAGGATGAATGAATATAACTCATTCGGTAAATTTTTTCTTCCTCACTTCCACTTATTGGTTTTATAATAGGCACCCAGAGTGGTCGGAGCTTCAAGAAACTAGCATCAATGCGTTTGGCAATTGTATTTGAAGCAACCTTCTATAAGAAATGGAAAGGAATACTGGCTGTAACAAGGATAAAATCCAAAAGCGAAGTTGGAGGTACTGCCAAAAGGTTCAAATGAGGAAGATGAGGGAGGACGGGTCTGGTAGTCGTGAGCAAAATGCACTTTACCAGCCCACGTTCAAGTATCGGTAACCTTTGTAAGAGTAGAAAAATGTCGATTCAGACAACGGCACACAGACCACTGGCGGGATCAATAGCAACCTACCAATTCGGCATGGAGAGAATAGGTCTTTCAGTGGGTTTGTTTAACAATATGAACTGGTTCTAGGAAGCTTGGATGAACTTTCTAACCACAGAAGCAGATATCCCTGAGAAAGCACGTAGTTTTAAATTAGAAAATATGCGTGTGGACAATCTTTCACAGTCACATGCTGTTCTTCCACTTGTGACGGATCGTTGTTGTTGTTGGATCTAAAAACATCCTTCAGAGAATCAGAGAAGAAAGAATCAAAGCTGTGCTTTCTTTTTCTATTGCAATTGTAGTTTGGTTTCTACTACTTTTTTGTCTTTGCCGCCTGTACAAAGACCTTCTTCTCTTTGTAACTCCATTTGATCTTACAGCATGGGTTCCACTAATGTTGAGCAAGACATGCTCGACCTCAAAAAGTCGTTGCAGGATGCTCAAACTAAAGGAAACGCATCGGTATGGACATGTCCCTCCACCTGTTTTTCCAAATTCTTAAGTGTCTCATATGGTTTGTGGGTTTGGGTCGTGTAATAAACTATTTCCAACGATCGAATGTGATTTTTTTTTTTTTTTTTTTTTTTTTTTTCTCTCTTCAGCTCGGATAGTGTCAATGTCTGCGATCGTATTCTGTAGAATTAATATATTAATAATCGACTATCTTGCTACACTCCGAACAAAAAACTAGCAAATCATCAGTCTTTTAAAGCAACTCAGCAAGTTTACTGTAACGCCTGCTCTTCTTCGGGTAAGATAGTCTTACTAATAGTAATAGAGCGATTTGAAATTTTTAGAAAGTGATAGAGAGAAAGAAAGAAGGAAAGAAAGAAGGAAAGAAAGAAGGAAAGAAAGAAGGAAAGAAAGAAGAAAAAAAAAAAAAAAAAAAAAAAAAAAAAAAAAACTTAACTGTTATTGCTTTTTTCTTATATTCTAAATAGAAAACTGAAATGGGTCTTTTCGTCAATAAAATGAAAACTCATGAAAATTCAGAAGTATCTAGGATGGCCAAGGATATTGTCAAGAGTTGGAAGGCACAGGTTATGAAGGACACTCCATCATCGACAGCTTCCACTGCTTCAACCAAGTCCGAAAGCACTACATCATCATCAAAGCCCAAAGTAGATACAAAGCCTTCGCCCGCTCAAATTCAAAATCCATCAAGGGAGGGATCTTCAACAGCAAGCTCACCAAGGACACCGACGGATACACCCAGAAGTCGTACAGTTCGAACGGATGGTATGCGTATTAAAACGACAGGAGATGATGTTCGTGATAAGTGTATTGAGATGCTTTATGAAGCTCTCGGATTCAATTCCAATGCAGGTAAAAAAAAAAAAAAAAAAAAAGAATGTTTCACGAACAGAATATCCGAAGGTTCTTGGAACTCTCCTTATTATTATGATTGCTCTCTCATTTTAAGTATACTTTACTTTTTTACTTATTAATGTGCATAGAGTCAGAACGTTTGCTTTCAAAGGCCACTAGTATTGAGGCGACTGTGTTCAAGAAGCTCTCAGTAGATAATAAGCCTAGCAAAGACTATAAGTCTAAGATCCGAACCTTCTTTATGAACTTGAAAGATAAGAACAATCCAAAGTTGCGTGAAGCTGTGGTAGATGGAGATGTGGCAGTGGAGGACTTTTGTGAATATACGACTCAGGATATGGCTTCTGCTGAGGCCAAGGCGCGTGATCGAGCGATCGAAATAGAAAATATGAAGAATGCCAAAGGAGCAGAGGAACAACAGGCAGAGACGGACATGTTCAAGTGTGGCAAGTGCAAGGGAAGGAAGACTCGTTATTATCAGATGCAAACTCGGTCAGCTGATGAACCGATGACAACTTTTGTGACATGTATTAATTGTGGTAACCGCTGGAAGTTTTCATAAAACAAAGAAGGAAAAACCCCTTCAAGACCAACCCCCAGACGCGACCTCCCATTTCTCTCTGATTATTTGATGATCGTTTTCATTCTTTTTTGTTTTTTATTTTTTTTATTGATCGATCGGATAATATAGCTCTAATAAAAGGGATATTATGGAAGTCAATCTTCACCCTCTCTCTATTTTAGTCATGTATTTTTGTTCAAGATCTATCAAGTGAAAGAGTTATTGTTGAAGAAACAGTAATCTCGGAGAAAACCTGATGTAGCTGAGATAATCGGACGCGATCTGTGGGGGGATACATGTGGAGCACGTTACGGGAATTAGGTTCATTCTTACAAAGACGCATCTAAAGAACTGAATAAGCGGGAAAACTTTGTAATCTATTTTAGCCAAGCTACATTTTTTTTTCCCAGTGTAACATTGCTTTTTGGGGAATAAAAAAGCTGTAAGCGGGATGTGGGGCGGTGTTCTGTCCCATGCCTTTCTACTCAATATATGTTGAGTGAATGGGGAAATATGAATGCAGCTCTTTGTCATTTAGTACTTTTCTCATTCTTTCAAGTCCCTTCTCATTCTCTTCATTCTTCTTTTCTTCCTCTTCTCAATCTTTTTTGAATCTTAAAGCGAACAAAGTCCACACCCTTTTTCACCCTTTCAAATTCATTTAACCCTTTCTTTGTTCTCACCACAACCAAGCTGTCTTCCTGGACGAGGTCTCTATATCTGAGGTCGTCGCCTTCGTCCTCGTTGTCGTTGCCGTTGCTGCCATTGCCTCGACTGCGACACCATCCAACTTTATTACAGCTTCGACCTCAACTTCGGGCTGTTGGGACATACCCTTTAAGGTTCAAGTCAATAACACGAATCTGTTGCGATGCACAACAAAGCCCATTGCCAGTATCATTAGCATCAGTGAACCAATATCCCTATTATCCTCATCACGCCTTCATTGAAAAGGTGGTTCAAAGAAGAGGCCATCACAACAACGCACAGCCGCCGTTGCTATTGCTTTCGACTTTACAACAACCCACAGCCACCACCACCACTACCACAGCATTATTTAAATCCATCAATTCCCGAAAGCAACAAATGGATCAACGTACTGTAACAACAAGTACTCTGGGCGCAGAAAACAGTGTCAATAATAAGGATCATGTAGAAAACACTGATCTGGAACAACACTGTTTGCTGTTCCCAACATATGCCACAAGACACTCTCGATCAGGTAATGAGGATGGATATTTAGTACACGGACGGGTATTATTTTATTAAATCGAGTGACCTCGTGCAACAAGTGTTTTGTCTTTTTTTTACTTGCTCAGATTGACATGTGTTGGTGCGCTAGTCCGCGTTGCAAAGTTTAATGTCTTTCTTCGATTTGACTGATATGACAATGTCGTCATTTTTTTTTTTTTTTTTTTTTTTTTTTAAAAAAAAAAAAATACTATAGGATCGAAAGACCCGCTGGACTGGAACATTAGAGTCCGAGGATGGGCTTTCTCAAAACGATCAAACCGCAGGAAGCGTCTTGTCATGTGTAAGGCTTGGAAAAAAAATGCATTTTTGCATCATTATTTCTTGATCTATTGCGATTGTAATGCATAATGATGCTTATTAATAATATCTATAATTTTTTCTCCCTTCAATCACAATATATATAAAGCCATGGCAAGGAAGCTGGCTGGGCTTACCAAAGATGATAAAGTATATGAGACATTAGAATCACGGTTTGGGATGTTCCTAGCAAATAACACCCAAGGAGTCGAATTCAAAATCCAATGTGTTGGCGTAGCAAGAACGAGCCATATGGAGTTGGCAGGAGATCATAAATCAAAGGACGAAACAGTTGATGTGCTATTGAAAGAACTGAAGACCCCGGCCGGCGCGCTTGCAGCTGCAGAAGCTGCAGAAGAAAAGGCTCAATTGAGAAAATCGCTAGAGGAAAACCGAGAGGGTTATATAAAGAACGATCGATCTAATGTTCATCGTGAGGGCAGCGGTTTTGAGAAATTAGACCGGGCTGTAAACAAAATCAATCAAACCCCGTCAAAAGGGAGCAGTAGTAGCACTGCTAGTTCTACTAACCCTGCTGCTACTACAGCTTCAGGAGCAAACGGAAACAACAGCTCTCCCTATATTCCAAAAGACGGTACCCCTTTAACCAGAGCGACATCACCTGAAAGTACTGAAGAATCAATCACCGGACGACTGACTGGTTTTATGAAAGATACATATAAAAGATACAAGCCAGTTGTTATGGCTCAGGTCAATAACGGTACCAACTATGCACGAAATCGATCGAGCACCGGAAGTAGCAGCATCAGTTCAAAGAGTTCAGGAAGCGATATTGAAAAGCCCCGTTCCCAGCCTGGAGTCAATGGAGCTGGTACTGACGCTAGCATCCTGCCAGGGGCCTCCACTACGTACGAAGAAGACTTGGGATATGGTATATTTCCTACTGTCAAAATCTCATCGCGACCTGGTGGGCATTTTGATGGCACCTTACGTGTATCATATAAGGATGTTCAATTGCACCGTATGAATAGTAAAAAGGGCAAGGCTTTTCGTCCTGGCGACCACCCTCGCTTCCTAAAGCTGCGTGCTCATCACCCAGATATGGCCAGTGAGCCACAGGGCATTGCCAACCTGATTGATCCGGAAGGAGTATCCGTTATTTCGGATATTGACGACACGATTAAAGAGACCAACATCGCAGCGGGCGCGAAGATCGTCCTTCAGAATACGTTCCTTAACGAAATGCAAGATGTTCCAGGGATGGCAAATGTCTATAAAGAGTGGTGGAAGCAAGGTGTAGCCATCCATTATGTCTCCAACTCACCATGGCAACTCATTCCAAGCCTGTTGGACTTCTTCCACACGCACAAGTTCCCTCCGGGGTCGGCACATCTACGCCTACACGACAGTGTCTTGAAGTCGTACTTTATGTCACCTGGGGAACATAAGCGTAGGGCTATCAGCGAGATCTTGACCGACTTTCCAGACCGCAAGTTTATCCTGATTGGAGACAGCGGTGAAATCGATTTAGAGATGTAAGTGTCGTGTGGGCGGAGTATATGTTCTAAGTATTTTTATAGGCATGATTCATGATTTTGACTATAGTATTATTATTTTTTTTCTCTTATTTTATTAGTTATACAGAATTGGCACGTAATTTCCAGGGACAGATTTTCAAGATTTTTATTCGAAATATTACGACGGCGAGGCTTCAGGAGATGAATGCCGAATCGACAGCCGATTCTATAATAGGACCTGATTTCTTTACTCAGCAAGGCGGTGCTGGGGTTGTGAATTCCTTAAAAGCTAATGATACTCCTAGCGATCTCCCCACGGATGATATTGGACGCGCTTCCTCTCGAACCGATGGAGATGCAAGCAAAAGTAGTAGTAGACAAAGCGTGGAGACGGCGTTGGGCAAAGGTGAAACAACGATATCAGACGCTATTGCTGCCAATACAACTACGTCTGTAGCCACAGACAGAGCTGGCTCCAAGGCTTCAGAAAAGACAGCAACGGGCGATGGGCTTACAGATAAGGCAATATTGGATGAAGAGCCCATGCCTGGCGCTCCCGTGTGCCATGAACCAGCAGTAACCAAGAGTCCGCTTGAACTCTGGGCTGATCGTGTGGAAGAATGTAGAAAATACTTGCCGGAGGATATGCTGACAATTTTTGAAGACGCACAAGCGTTAGGGAAGTGTTCATTAGTCAAGGAAAAGATTCGATATTATCGGGATGCGTTTACCTTGGATGAAGATGATGAGAACGAGGATGAGGATGATGGAAATGTAAAGGGAGACAAGGCTAACAAGAGCAAGAATGAAGATATGGGTAAAGAGGATCGCGACAACAACGAGCTACCACAGCCTCAGCCACAGAACAGAAAGATAGAAAAGCTGATTGATGTATGAAATTAAAACCGAGAGAGAGGGATCTGTGCAACAACAGAATCGGTCGCGTGGCCTGGTGCGTGCTTTCTTGAGAGGCGATGTTTTGCAGCCCCATTTTTAATGACGATGTATTAGAGTTCAAATCCATGAAAAGGTGTTCCCTTGGATGAGATGTAAAACACATCTTGTCTTGCAGTCTTTTTACATTAGGGTCTTGTTTAAACCCATCATCATTCATAGTCTAATCTATTGCTGTAAACGGAAACGTCACTTTTTTTTTTTTTTTTTAAGAGTAATAGTAGTAGTAACTAATAGCCACAATACCATAAAAGCAAAATGTAATCAACCTGGAAAAAAGGGAAAGGGGAATGTCAGATTGAACCAAGTATCAAACGAAAAATGGTTACAAACCGATGATGCTGATATGAGAAAAGTAGTTCATCAAGTTTTATTTGGATCAAACACCCTCAAGGGAACGTGCGCACACTATTTCACTCCTCCACTCCCTTTCTCTTTATTCTAATTTTGACTCCTGTCAACTTGCTCCACAATAGCCTTGCTCTTCTAACCAAACAGCATATTCTCTTTCTTTTAACTATCTCACGATCTGTCCGCATTCATTCCTATCCTTCAAAAAAAAAAAAATACCCAAGTGGACAGATCGTCATGGTCGCTTTTCGATGGACTTCGCCTTTAACACAGGTGATGGCAGTTGGATTCATTTGCTTCTGCTGCCCTGGAATGTTTAACGCCCTCAATTCCCTGAGTGGAGGAGGACAGCTCGAGTCCAAGGTTGGACAGAACGCAAATGTGGCCCTTTACACATGTTTTGCCATCTTTGGTCTCTTATCTGGAGCGATCCATAATATCTTGGGGCCTCAATGGACCATTTTTATCGGCTGTTCAACCTATGTCCTCTACGTAGGATCCCTTCTATGTTACAATCATACTCAGAATGGAGCATTTACAATCGCAGCTGGAGGTATCTTGGGTGTAGGTGCAGGAATGCTTTGGACCGCTCAAGGAGCCATGATGATGGCCTATCCTCATGAACAAGATAAAGGCAAATACATCGGATACTTTTGGGCTATCTTCAACATGGGGGCTGTCCTTGGATCCGTCATTGCTTTAGGTATCAACTTTCATGTTATAGAAGCTAAAAGATTAGGTGATGCCACCTATGCTGCATTTTTGTCCATCATGGCTGTTGGTACGTTGATTGCTCTGTCATTAGCCTCCCCTCGGAAGGTGACCCATTCTAATGGAGACCATATTCTGATACAGCCGTTTCCAACTTGGTGGGGGGAACTGAAAGCGATCTTTGGACTCTTTTTGGATTGGAGAATGGTGGTCCTGATTCCTATGTTCCTGTCCTCCAATTGGTTTTATTCCTATCATTTCTCAACTGTGAACGGTCGTTACTTTTCAATCCGATCTCAATCTCTCAACAATATCCTCTATTGGGCTTCACAGATTGCAGGATCTTATTCATTTGCTCGTGTTTTGGATTATCAAGGAATCAATCGAAGGAGAAGAGCAGTTTGGGGGCTAGTGATCATCACCATTGCATTTGTGTCTACATGGATCGGAGGGATCTTCTTCCAAAGAACATACACGATCAATGATCCCAAACCAAATCACGATTTTAAGGAAGGACGCTCATATGTGGGTCCTATGTTTTTGTACATGTTTTATGGCTTGAATGATGCGGCCTGGCAGACTTTTATTTATTGGTTGATGGGTGCATTGTCGAATGATGCGACAGTTCTATCTCGATATGCTGGATTCTACAAGTGTATTCAATCCAGTGGAGCTGCAATTTCATGGCGGTAAGTGGATGAGAGAACACTTACAAGGAATAGGTCCATTTGCTATCTCTTTCTTTACTAATGTTTTCTTCGTATTTCCCTTTTTCCTTTTTTCAGGATCAATGCTGTTGGCACCAATTATATGGTCGAATTGATTATTTGCTTTGCCTTGCTGGCGGCTGCCATCCCCGGCGCACTCTTTCTAGCATTACGCATTAAGGATCATAGCGAGGATGCAACAGATTATCATTCAAATGGAGTAGTAACGCCGACTGTCGAACAGAAGCGTGAAGAACCAGGAGTAGTTTCTTAATACCTTACCCCTCCCACCTCTCTAACTATTAATATAAAAATCACCAACGTACGTTTACGAGTTTGTATTTTATAAATAAATACGCCACCATAGCGATTGTTCTTTTTAATTTTGGTGGTATTCACTCTTCTTTTCAAAAAAAAAAAAAAAAAAAAAAAAACGATTCAGTGATTCAGTCATTCAAATACAGAGAACGAGCTGCATGCATGCTCCCTCTCATTCATAAACAGGAATCAACTTAAAAAACGAATGGGAACAGGAAGGAGGCATGACATGCAGAACTTGGATGAGCAGGAGAAGATAGAAAGCCGTGTAAACGACGATGGCGAGGACACAGATAAAAACGAGAACGATGGCGATGATCATCCGAGCTACTGTGTTATTTGCCTGAATAGCTGCGAGGATCGGACAGTGCTCGAGCCATGTCATCGTAAGTAGCCTCAGTGAAGTGAAGTGCGTTGAGTTCTCCAATTGATGATTTATTCAAAGGTTATTAATGATCTTTATATATAAAAACAAAAAGATGAATTCTGTTTTCATTGTATCCTTCAATGGTCCATGGTGTCGCACTCGTGCCCGCTCTGTGTCCAGATTTTCGACAGTTGTATCCATGAAATCAAGGACGACCACCACTATACAGTTGTAAAGTTACTTTCAATGGTGCATGACCGATGATGATGGAATGTTCGATTACGACATAAAAAAAAGAACTAACAAAGCAAAATGGTCGTGCTGGTATGCATACCTTCTTTGACCCTCCATTATTCTTTCTAGTATCGATTCGAGCCGCTCGCATCTGCGTCCGCGCCCAAGAGTTCTTCTAACTCCTCATCATCACTATCACCGCTATCAACTAATGTGAGATTACAGCCACAGCCGATGGCGATTCCCTATGGGATTATTCGTCAACTCTATGGACCACCCCAACGAAGAAGAAGGTTCGGTAGAGGCGATAGGGGCCCTAGTATGGAAAAAACAGAGACAGAAAACGAACGCACAGTGTCTAATCAACAAGAACAGGCATTAGAAAAACGAAGGTATTTTTTTTTAAAAAAAAAAAAAAATTAAAAAGGAGTGTCCTTAATATTTTAGAAATATAACTAATGCTTTTTTTTTTTTTTTTTTTCTTTTTTTTTTGCTCCGCCTTCCAAAAAAAAAGACACGTCTATCGCCATCGCCTCTTCGTTAAACACATGGGTGCTAACAGGATCTCTGGGTTTCAACAGATAACGCCGGAGACCTTTCGAATCCTACCGCATAAGCTCGATCGCCTTATTCCTTGGATCCGACGAGAATTACAGGCGATTTTATCGCTCAATACTGGCAATGTTTCTTCTGGTGACGTCAACAATGACAACAGTAGTAGCAGCAGCAGCAGTAGTAGTAGTAGTAGCCATAGTGACGCTGTTGCGGCTGCCATGAATCGTTATCAGGAAATCAATACAGGTTTGGAATTGATTCGAGAATATGTCATTGCAGTGTTGAAACGGTTTGATCTTCAAACCGATCAGGCTCAGGACTTGCTTCGGGATTTCTTACATGAACATACAGCACATTTTGTTCATGAACTCGTTGCGTTTGCAAGATCTCCTTATTCAATTGAAGCGTATGATCGGTTAGCGCAGTATGATGATCCAGCAGCAATAACAACGGCTACAAAGACGAGGACGGCGGTAACAACAATGGCATCAGAACATGTAGGGTCAAGACTCAAATCGTCGTCATCATCTAGGCGTCGTCATATTGGCGCTGGTGATAATGAGAGTGACTCTGAATATAGGGGACGAAGTCGAGGACGGTATGGGAACGGTTATAGGAATAGGAGCATCAGTAAAAATCAGACCATCTCCTCTGATGGAGAGAAAATCCCTAGGACATACATAAAAGACAAGCGCCGTAGGGGTAGTAGAGAAGAGGATCATGATTGGCGGACCCAGCCAGGCAGTGAAAGCAGTAGGAATAGAAGAAGAAGAACGGGCTCTTATCCGGGGAATCAAAGTAGGAGTAGGAACAGGAGTAGGAATAGAAGTAGGAGTAGAGGCGAGAACAGGGATAGAAGCATGAGTAGGAGCAGAGAAGAGTCCAGGAACATGTCCTCCTTGAGTGAAAGTAGAAATGAACGAGTGACAGAGTATGAAAAAAGAAGACCGCAACTATCTACAACCGAGAGAGGACATGCACCTGCCGATATCAGATCCTTACCACCCATCAACAATAATAATAGTACCAATGATAATCGAGAGTCACTAAATGCCATCTTGCGGGCCAAGTTGGCAAAAGAGCAGGAGCTGTATAATGCCAAACATAAGAATAAAGCAACCTGACCACACAACAAAAAAAAAAAAAAAAAAAAAAAAAAAAGACACGGAACGAATGCACACCGATCCTTTGTATAGCCTCCAATGCCTCTGCCCAGTATATCTCATTGGGTCATTTGGACACTTGCTCTACAAGAACCGCAACATTTTGTGGCTTTGGATGAATGAAGGTGAAAGCGCGTAAATGTACAGCACAGCAACAAGTTTCAACTCAAGTAATGATGCCTCTCTTGTGACTTGGTTACACTTTTTATGATTGGAGTATAGCCCTTGCACAGCACTTGATAACTTTATACCCTCCAGTGGACAACTCAGTAAACTCTACCCTAGCGGTCGGGTGTTAGATGTCAGATCGCCACTGTACCGGCTTCTTGTTGGTATCCAATCGCTATTCACTGCTGGACTGGAAGCGAACGCTATGATTATTGATATTGTAATCTAATCTGTAAATGTCTTGGTCTCTGAGATCATAGTCCGTAAATGCTATGGTTATTGAGGTATTAGCCTGAATATGATTGATTCATCATCATCATCTCTTCGTTTCCAACACCGAACTAGAGGGGGCTCGTCCTTTTGTCAATAAGATGCCAACCAACTATTACATGTCATTTGATTTTATAATTTATAGGATGTTATTAAAGCTTTTCATTTTCAGGGAAAGAATGTAGCAAATGGCAAATAACATTGCTACCTGGTCACAATGCGAGAATATTAGTACAATATAATGATGTAAAAAATACCTATACATTTACTATGTAGAGGCACTTTCTTTACCTTGTAATAACACAAAGTTCGAAGTTACCACATCTCAACGAACTAAGAGAAAAGAGACTATATTGCTAGTGTCAGGCCACAGCATTTACTGTCACTCGCTTATTCAATCCTCATCAATCCAATTTTATAGGTGTTTCTTGTTAATATCACTTTGCACCTCAAACAAAAAGTTTAAAAGATGAAAAGGAGTATCGGATCAGCAAACTACTACACCACTTGTTCCGTGGAGATTCAACTTTTTTTTTTTTTTTTTTTTTTTTTTTTTTTTAACTCAGTTTAGTGCCTCATTTTCAGCAACTTGATATTGGTAGCATAGTCATGTTAAAGGTCAGCAAGTGACCCCCACACTCTTCACATAGTCTTGGTTTCCAAATATGAGTGAAGTGAAGGAATGCTTGGGGCTGCCCAAAGATGCAGTCTAATAGCATGCTTAATTCCTATTGGGCCATCTCTGTGCTCATCTTCTTGAAGTGGTTTAAGGCGTTTGTTTTCATGTAGTAAACTAGACACATGCTCTTATACCAGCAGTGAAATGTCCTTTTCAAAAAAAAAAAAAAAAAAAAAAAAAGATTTTCAACTTCACGTAAATCTTATCCAAATTAGGGTCAAAGCGGCCGCGCAGATATTTTTTTTTTGTGTAGACTGCATGCATGCATACTGCAAAGGAGGAATTAAAAAAAAAAAAAAAAAAAAAAAAAAAAAAAGGTCCAACGTGGATAATGGATCAGTGTCACTCCACACCACGCCTATCAGCTGGAGCAACCCAAGGAAAAAAAAAAAAAAAATACATACTACATGCCATTTAACGAAGAGCGTTTCCTCTCGACAACCTTTTTTTTTTTTTTTTATTTTTTTTTTATATTGTAATGGTCGTTGGTATTAATAAATATCTGACCTTGGCTCGACTTGTCCGCTTACCTTTTTCTTTTCTTTTTTTTTTTTTCTCTCACCATTTACTTTTATTTTCATCTGATCCTAAAGTCATCTCTTTCATTCTGTGTTGTGCACTTCAATCCAATTTACTCCAAGAAAGTAAAGACAACATTTCATTCCAATTCCTACGCGACTCGAGCAAGAGCTATTTTTCAGTACGTTTCCTCCCAGATGCAGACATCTGACGTTATTACCCCAGCTGCTTCTCCATCGGAGACATTGTATATTTACAAGGCACCGTCACTGAAGGCATCCAGTCTGGATTCAAGCGTGAAGTATGAGAAGAAGGCGGAGCAAGTCCATATTAATAGCAAGACGCTTGCGCCAGCGCCATTACCTGTAGGGCCTACTACACCGTCTATACTAGGGTCGCTCCTAGAGGGCGGTCTCAAGGGTTGGATTGCCGTTCTAGGCTCTTTCCTCATCCATATGTTCGTGTTTGCACCCACAGAGTTTGCATTCGGTGTGTTTGTACTTCACTACCAAGACGTATTCCCGAGAGCTGCAGCATCTGAGATTGCGTTTGTAGGGACGACAGGCTCAGCCATCACATATATTGCAGGGTTTTTGGCTGGGATTGTAGCAGACCGCTTTGGCTTCAGACCTACGGCCTTTGCTGGGACAGTACTCATGGCCATGTCCCTCATTGCGGCATCATTTTCATCGCAGGTAAGGACAAGCTTGGTTCTGGAGGAAAGAAAAAGCTCACGAGGAGGTGCATGTGGGTAGATAAATGTTCATATCACTGAAGATCTGTACACGAAGGAAGGGGGGTTGCATTTGCCCAAATAACAAATGAACCTGTCTCAATTTCGCACCCATGCAGTTCGTGTTTGTTATCCTTATTTGTCATTTTTTATTATTTTCTCACTCTCCTTTATTTGTCCTTTTGTCTCTCGCCTCCCCCACACCCCCTTTTTTTTTTTTTTTTTTTTTTTTTTCGAACGGTGTCATTATTAAGCTTTGGCACTTGTATGTGACCCAAGGTCTATTTTTTGGCGTTGGGGCTTCTTTAACCTACTATCCTGCTATTGCAGCTCCTTCGCAATACTTTGTCAAGAACCGTGGACTAGCCATCGGGATTGCAGTCTCAGGCACAGGGTTGGGTGGCTTTGCTCTTGCCCCCCTTACAAATGCACTTATCAGTAAGGTTGATGTATTTTGGACACTACGGATCCTCGCAATCATGATTTTTATTGTGTGGTAAGTACGCATCTTTTTTGTATCTTTGTGCGTGTACCAAATTGTGGGGGAAGAAGGCGGGTCAGCCTGTTGAAAGAAAAAAAGAAGTTGAACCCCTTGAACATTTCTCTTTTTTTTTTTTTTTTTTTTTTTTTTTGATCCAGTGGTGGGGCCAGTATGATGATTGCGGAGAAAAAAGTAGATCCTATAGAACAGATTGCTAGTCAGATTAAACAAGAAGAGGAGGCTACCCGCCAAGATCAAGGACGCACCACCTCCACTGTTAGTGTGGAGGAAAAGAAAGATGAAACTTGTGATTTGGAGATGGCCAAAAATGACAGGGTCAAGGTTGAGATAGAGGAGAAGCCGTCATTCTGGCAGGCTCTCCATATGTTCAAAGACGTTCGGTTCTTGACGTTGACCATGGCAGAAGTGGCAGCCTCGCTCGGTTACCTCATCCCATTGTATTACATGCAGAGTAGGTGATCATTTGACGTTCTCCCTTTTTTTTTTTTTTTTTTTTTTTTTTTTTTTTCATTTTACTCTCGCCCAAGAGCAACCATAGGAGCGCACACAACAAGACGCGCATCATTACATGGCAATGCTGAACATCCGTTATTTTATATTTATTATTTTGACGCTTAAATGCTTAGAGCAACTTGTAACTTTTTTTTTTCTCACTCCTATTTACACTCTTTAGCGTACGCTGTATACATTGGCTTATCAGCAGACGAAGGTGCTTTGATCCTGGGCCTATCGAATGGGTCGTCCTTTGTAGGGCGTATTCTGCTGGGGATCATTGCTGACAAAGTCTCTAACACAAAGACCTTGTTGTTCTGCTGTTGGGCCACTGCGTTCTCTGTCGTCGTTTTCTGGCTTAATGCAAAGTCCTTTGGCATGCTTTTACTAATGGGCGTGACCTTTTGCATGTTTGTTGGTAAGTGACTTTGAAGAATTAAAAAAAAAAAAAAAAAAAAAAACATTGAAACCTCTCTTCATCCTAGCGCATACTGAACTAAAACCTTTTGATTTGTATATCCCAATGTTTCTATTACAGGCGCCTATATATCTCTGGTGCCTGTTGCAGTTGCCGAGTCATTCGGTAAGCCTTTTTTAACTTGTGATTTACTTACTTTTTCTTAACAATGATTCAATAGTTGATTCACTTGCTCACTTCCCTTCTTTTTCCTTTGTTTAACAAAAGGTACTGACACGATCGCGTCTACGATCGGTCTCATGTACGGCGCAGGGGGACTGGTCATGTGGGGTGGATCTCCTTTGGCCGGATATATTTTAGACTCGACTCTTCCTAACCTGTCCTATACACCTGTGATTGTTACCGCTGGAGTGTCCATGGTCGTCGGAGCTATCTGTGTGACCGCATGGGCCTACTTCCATTGGCGGGCTAAGCGACCAGTCACCAAGGACGTTCGCTCCAAGGAGTGTTTGCCCTGAAAAGGAACCGAAAGAGATCGGACTTGGAGTCCGCTACATAGTTAAAATACTTTTGTTCGATCGACTTTAACAGCATTGATAATATAACGGCTACTTTTATCACTTCTACCGGAGTTTTTTATAACTTGCTATTCACTCTGTTGACATGTGCATTGTATGGCTGGATGGTACTAATTTGGGAGATGTCTTTTCTATAGAAAGGAGCATATATTTACCAATCCAATACGTTGGGAATTTGCGAGGGTGGCAACACCCTAGAGAGCTAATCATATGAAGCTAAAGAGCATAGAGGGGCAACCAATGTGTGAGCCCAAGTAGGGTTTATGAGTGTTATGAAAGCGAGACCTAGAATGTATGCCTGGAAAGTAGTAACTACAGAACAACATGTGGACTGTAATGGATCTAAAAAAGCCCTCAACTCTTCGCTCTAAACTTCTTCCCTTCTTCTTTCCTTCTTCCTGCTTCCTTCTTCATCTCTTGCTCCAACATTGTCACCACCACCAACATCATTATTGTAGACATATCTTTCTTTCTCCTACAGCTGATCCGTCTCTTTCAATCTTTACTCGCACAACCATGACAACTGACGAAGGCGCCAATAACAGTACGTTTTCAACTATGAATAAAGGGGGTTCAAAATAAGGATGAACATATTCATGTGAATGTTCATTAGAAATTCATTCCTCATTCTGATTTCATTGAATCTTGTATGTATAGATGAACTTCTGATTGCAGCATGCAGGGAAGACAACCTGGAAATGCTAGAACAAGTTCTCTCTTCAGACCATTCCAGCTATGATATCAATCATACAGACGCCTTCGGCAACTCTGCACTTCATTACGCGTAAACTATCATGTCTCAATTGCTTGGATGACATGTGTAAATCTCTGTGGCACCATTTTAGACGGATCGAATTGACCTTTTTTCTTTTTTTTCTTTTTTTTTTTAAACAAATAGTGCAAAATACGGATCACAAGGATGTCTGGAGGTTCTGATGTATTATGATGGAATTAACGTCAATGTTACAAACAATTCAGAGGGCGATACACCTTTGCACAAAGCTGCTGGATACCAGGATCCAGAGGTTGCACTCGACATGGTCCAACATCTGATCAAGAAAGGTGCCTCAGCTCAAAGTAAGTCCCTTCTCTCAATCTTGGTCTTGATTTCTTTTTTTTTTTTTTTTTTTTTCACCTTACTGTCCCCTGATCTGATTTTATGGCCGTCAATTTGTGGTGCGGGAATCATGAGAAGAAAGTTCATGCACAATCAGTTAATGGAGCCAATTTTGATGTCGGGCTTTTGAAAAAAAAAAAAAAAAAAGAAAAGAAAAGAAAAGAAAAAGAAGCAGTAGAGTTTATTTTTAACAAAAAGACTATTTATTAACTTGTAACTTGCTTTAACTTGCATTCAATGTCCTTTAATTATTAGTTCAGAACAAATTGAAGCAGACACCTATAGATGTTGCGCCTAGTGGCACGCATGATGAAATCAAGAAGTATTTGGAGAAGGCTATCCTTGGGGCACAGGTTGTAAGTGAGAATTGTGATTGACACAATTGCGATGCTGTTTTTTTTTTTTTTTTTTTTTTTTTCACTAAACCAAGGATACGTACAATACTAATGAATATGCTTTTTTTTTTTCTTTTTTTCTTGACAGGATCCACGAGACATTCCACAGAGTGATAACGATGAATCAGATGGTGAACCAAGCGATGATGATTAAATAGAGAAATAGTCTGCATCTTGATTCTTGATCTAGAGAAGGAAAAATAAATTCTAATGCAAAATCCAATTTGTTCATGGCGTATGTGTGTTTGTTTGGTTTGTTTATTCGCACACAGAGCTAAGGAAGCATAGCGTATTATGCACTATGCACAGAAAAGGATAATGTCCTCAGTAAATTTTTTTTTTTGGGTAAATATTCATCTCACGATACGATAGAAGAATTTATTTTTGTTCTTTAACAAATTCATGTTGAAGAGAACAACACAACATGCTTTGCCTCTTTACGACTTTTAATTGTCCGGAGAAGGTTGCTTCCTGAAATGGCAAGGCAGGTTATGACAATTCATTCTAGCGGCTCATCAAAGCGAATGGCCAATGTCACCATTTGAAGTGGAGCACAAAGCCAAAGATCTATTTAGACTGAGTATCCCTTCAAGAAGCAAGTCTATTTGATCCTTTTGAATTTATATGAAAAAGTATTGTCTGACCAAGATAAAGTTTGAACAGCATTCATTTTTTTGAGTGCTCTCTTGGCCCAGGGCTAGAAGATTGGGATAGTTATAGATAAAAGGAGCGTCCAAGCCCATGCACAGCAGCGGGAGTCAAGGTTTGCTGTAAATGAATCAACATCATCAAGTGAATTGATTAATAGGCATACCTGTTGCCATCTATAGATCTCTAGTCCAGTGCCGAAGAGGCATGATCAAGGCTACCTCGTATAGTTTTCATTTACTTTGTATGAGTTTAATTGGTGCAAGTTGCAAGCAACTGTCGCCAGTAATAGCTAGGATTTTTTTTTACTCAAGGCGGAAACGCGTGTGTCCTAGGTGTCCAACCAATGAAGGTGTTTCAATGTTCCAAGTTTTTTTTTTTTTTTTTTTTTTTCCGTAGCCTCAGAGAAAAAATTTATGCATGCTGGGAGATGGAACAATCTCTTCTCGATGTATGCATGCAATCCATCCAAGCAAAGCATGCAAATAATGGGCTCAGTCGAAAGTATACTTTGTCCTTCTCTTCTCTTCTCTTCTCTTCTCTTCTCTTCTTCTTTTCTTTCTTTCTCTCCTCACACAATAGCGTCTATCGCTCTTGAGACAATCTTTCCTCCCCTCTTTTTTTTTTTTTTTTTTTTCTGGCACGATTCCTCGATCAGACATGTAAGTGCTTACGCTGGAGTTGGAGAATATGAAAAGAATATAAATAAAAAAATAAAAACATTATTCATCTACAATATCGCCTACAAACACACCACTCTCATGCTTACATAGTTCTTGTTCTACTGAAATGAATAGATCAAAGCTGAGAAAGAAGAGAAAAGATCGACAGCCATGCTTGGTGGTATTTACCCCTCCTCACGAAGTGTCCTCTCGCCATCAATAGCTCTGAAACTCTTTACTATCTACACCGAGAACGCTCGCGACTATGGCAAAGAGATCGCCTTGGAACTATGTCTGGATGCAGTTGCCGTGCTATCTCGAATCCATCGGTCTGTGAGGAAGGCTCTTATCACTTCAACTCGCAATGAGGACAAAACGCTATGCCAAAACGTTGCCACAGCTTACTACGACCTTGCTCGGTCATTTGAGCGTCTGGGTCAGCCAGATGAAGCTCGAAACAATGACCGAAAAGCAGAAAAGTGGGGATACGTTCAAGGAAGGAACGTTGTCCGCCCAAGGCCACCATCAATTAGTAGCTCTATCAATGACCTCAACGACAAAGACAGCATCAGCTACAACGATACTAAAAGGCGAGAAAGTACCTGTATTTTTAACAGCGAACCTGAAAAGCCGACTAAAATAGTAGAACCCACCACAACAGACGGCACCACAATTATTCCAATACATATATTTAGTCGCGATGTAGCTCCTACGGCCATCAGATATAGCTTGCCAGATGCGGGTACTCGTCTGAATGATATCGGTCAGCTTGTGTATTGTCTCAGTTTGCTTCCTGGTGCGCCTATCCCTACTACTGAACTTAGTGGTGAGGAACGAGAATGGTCTTTGGCCATGTCCAAGGACCGAAGCGAGCAAGAGCGGCTATACAACTTGGCTTCAAATGTGATTACAATGTTCATCAGTGATGGGATCAAGACCGAGGCTACTGTTACTGAAGTTGTGTCTCTAGCTCCAGTTCTTAGTCGTGATCAATTCAAAGCATTGCTCGCGGCTTTTACCAACGACATTCAGAAGAGCACCGTTTTGGATACCTATTTATTGGAAGGATTGGGTCAGTTGATGCAGCATGCTCCACTCGGCTACCTTGACTCGGATGATATTATCAAAATTCTCGATACTCTCACTTTCTGCTTAAAAGAAGTTAATAGTCAATCCGATGACTACCTTCATCATCTATCTACTGCAGTGTCACGAGCCCTTGATGTAATGGTTGATAATCAAGTCAAAGGTTTAAAACCAGAGCAACTCCATGAGCCATTAGTTTCATATTTGAAGGGTCTAGAAGATAGTTCAGATCCCCATCTAATGTATCATGCAGCCTATGCTTTCCAGGCACTTCAATATATCCCAGACGATGGAACAACGGTACAAGCAATGCTTCGACGAAGATCATCTGTGTTCCGAGGGACAGTTGGGATAGTGAGTGCGGTCGATGATTTTGATGTGTATGCCTTTTTGGATGAATTAAGTATTATCCAGAAAGAGCTTCCGATGGTGACAGATGTTATTAATTTGAGTCTGCATGTTTATAATGGGGCAGCATCGCTGTATGAGAGTAAAGAGACTATCAGACAGTGTATACAAGAAGGACTCAGTTTGAGTCAAAAGACAGCATGGTATCCAGCATTGCGTGGGGCTGATGCTCTAATCCAGACTGGCGAGTTCACCAAATTCAAGACTTTTGTGTGTGAGGTACCTTGTCGAAGAGAGCCATCCTTCCTGTGGGGGCTATGTCAACGATTGGGGCAGATTGCAGCTGATACTCAATGGCCTACAGATGCCCGACAGGATGCAGTCGCATTCCTTGGTGAGATCTACAAGAATGACAACGATTGGGGCCATTATGTCCACATTAAGCAATGGATCCTTGCAATATTGAAGAGGTTGATGTGGTTGTCAAAAGAGAGTCTGCTGGGTGAGTAGAGAAGATGGCTTTAGCTTTGAAAAAAATTTACCCCGTTGTGTGAGAAGTCAGCTAATGATAGTGCATTGTGATCCTCCAATTTTTCTTTTTTTTTTTTTTTTTTTTTTTTTTTTTTTTTTAGCTGAAAAGTTTTTTGTGGAGGATCTTACTAAGAATGGGGATGCTAACAAGCAGCAGCTATTTAGTGATTATTTTAAGGATCCTGAGGTTCGACATCCCGTCGTTATCGCACTCCCCCCTTCTACATCTCTATCATTACTCGACCGCGTCCAAAAGGAGCCTGATATCGAGAATAACCTGCGCCAGCTCAAGAGACAACGAATGCGGAGTAGAGATGACCAGAGCTTTTACATTCCACAGTTTTCTCGAGGCTCTGCTCGTTCCAAGAATGAAGGCGCATGCTTGCTGATGGACGAGGTAAAGGAATTTCTGAATGGCGATCAAAAAGTGCTACTCGTGCAAGGCACTTCAGGAGCAGGAAAATCAACATTCAGTCGTACACTAGAGTACAATCTGTGGGAAGCATACCAAAACAAGAACGATAGGATCCCACTCTACATCGATTTACCGAGCATTGAAAACCCAAATCGAGGTTTGGTCACAAAGCTGCTGCGAAGGTATGGATTCACAGAGGCCCAGATCACTGAGCTGAGAATGACTCGATCATTCATCTTGATCTGTGATGGGTATGATGAATGCAGGCAGCACAACAACTTGTATGTCACCAATCAACTGAACCAACCTGGTGAATGGATGGCTCAGATGATCATCACCTGCCGCAGTGAGTATCTTCGATCAGACAGCCGAGATTACTTTCAGCCTATGGCCCGAAAGCGCCAAGCAGGCACTTCATTGTTCCAAGAGGTTGTAATTGTACCATTCTCGGATGATCAGATCAATAATTATATCAAACAATATGTGGCCATCATGAATCCACCATGGCCAGTCAAAGAGTATCAGCGTGTATTCGAGGTGGTGCCCGGCCTACGGAAGCTTGTGGAGAATCCTTTTTTCCTATCGCTGTCACTTGAAGTGCTGCCGCGGATGATAGGCCCGAATCAAGACGTCTCCAAGACAGAAGTCAAGTGTATATCATTTTATGACCAATTCGTGGAGTTGTGGCTGGAGCGAGGCAAGAAGCGAGTAGGCGATTCAATAGAGCCAGAGGATAGGAAGATGTTCCAGAAATTGTCGGACGAAGGATTTGAACAGAATGGGATTAGGTACTTGACAAGCTTGGCCGTAGCCATCTATAGACATCAACGTGGCGATCCTGTGGTGGACTACTCTTCGTTCAAGCACAAGGGGACATGGAAGGAAGAGTTCTTTAGCAAAGAGAATGGAGCATCCCTTCTAAGAGAGGCATCCCCCTTGAGTCGCGTGGGCACTCAGGCTCGCTTTATTCATCAATCTATCCTGGAGTACAGTCTGGTGCGAGCGATCTTTGAGCCGCAGCAAGTGATAAACGCTTTTGCAAGTGGTAGGGGAACAGCATTGACTCCAAACCCTCGTCGGCAGAGTATCAGTTCAGTATACAGCTTCGATTCTGAGAGCAAGGAGGCCAATCCATTCCAGGCTGATGAGAACTCTCCATTGGTATGGAAGAACTTTGTGAACGATCCATTTTTCTCACAGTTTCTGGAAGACCGAGCCCGATTGGAACCGCTGTTCAGACAGCAACTCTATGGCTATATAGAACTCTCGAAGGAGGATAAAAAGTGGCGGACAGCAGCAGCCAATGCGATAACGATCCTGGTTCGAGCAGGCGAGTCATTTCTTGGAGCAGACCTGAGAGGCATTCAAATTCCAGGAGCGGACCTGAGCGGCGGTATGTTTGGAGGTACCAAGTTACGAGGAGCAGACCTTCGAAAGGTCAATCTGCAACAAGCTTGGTTACGAGATGCTGACATGAGGGGCGCTCGGGCAGAAGGGATACAGTTTGGTGAATGGCCCTTTTTTACAGAAAGTGCTAAAGTAAGGACAGGAACATATTCTCCTGATGGCGAGATGCTCGCCATAGCTATCGATGATGGCACAATCAATGTCTACTATACATTGACATGGGAGAAGCTTCACACTTTAAAGGGTGTTACTGGGTCCATACTTGAATTTTTGCCCGATAACAAACATCTCGTTTGCTTGAGTTCTCATCAAACGGTGGAAATTTGGAATGCAATATTAGGCCAATCAGTAAAAGTGATGTATGGCCATAGCGGAGCTATCCATTGTATGGGGTACTCACCAGATGGGACCCAGGTTGCCTCTTCCAGCGACGATGGCTCAGTTCGAGTATGGAATGCACTGTCTGGTATTTTAATATATGAGCTGAAGGAGCACACTGGCGCTGTATTCAGTTTGATGTATTCACCTGATGGGAGACAGATTGCAACTGGAGGTAAAGACAAGACCATAAGGCTGTGGGAAACATTATTAGGACAGCCGATTCGGACACTACAGGACCTTAAATATGAGGTTTACAAGATTGCGTATTCACCTAATAGCCAGGAAATCATTTCTTATGCTCGTAAAGACTACTCGGTAGATGTATGGGATGTCGGGTCGGGCCAAAGAAGATGGACCTTGGTGCATACTGGTCATGTCGAAGGTGCTCAATATTCGCCTAGCGGGGATTATGTCGCTTCATTCGCCGGTGCGGTGGCGATCCAGTGGGATATGCACACAGGGGAAGCTATTCATACCTTTGATAGGCACCCCAGTTCGATCACCGATCTAAAATATTCGCCAAATGGGGAAGAGATAGCTACCTGCAGCAAGGATGGTATAGTGCGGTTATGGGATGCGCAATCGGGACAACTAATAAGCACTCTTCGTGGCCACTCTGGTGTGATTAGCAGTTTGGTGTATTCACCAAGCAGTCAGCAAATTGCATCGTTTGGTGATGACGGGATGGTGCGGTTATGGAATACACAGCTAAAGCAGACTTGTCCGGACCAGAACAGACATACGAGAGCGATTAACTGTATCAGAATATCGCCAGATGGGCGGTACGTTGCTTCCTCTAGCTACGATGGCACAATTCGCGTGTGGAATGCACGGACAGGACAGTTTCTTCATGTTTTGCAGGATATAAGATCAGCAAACGACATCAAGTATTCGGCTGATGGTCAGTTGATTGGTTCTTGCCATACCTCCTCGTTTTTGCGCCTTTGGAATAGTCAATCAGGTCAAGTCGCCCATACCATAGAATGGGAAGAAGCACCACTCGATGGATGTTGGGCCATGGATTTCTCACCCGTGGATCATAGAATTGCATGTGGACATGCATGTGGGAAAGTGAGTGTATGGGATACGAAAACAGGGAATTGTATACGCATTTTACAGAGCCCGAAACTAAAGCCAGGCAAAGACGTGTTCCGTGTGCTATATTCACCCGATGGCCGTAAAATCGCTTCATGGGAGGTAAATGGCAGAATCAGAGTCTGGTCAGCGGAATCATGGGACCTTTTGTGTGAATTCCTGAGTCCAAGATCGTGTGGCCCTGCAATGGCGTTCTCGCCTAACAGCGAAAGACTAGCATTTTTTCATGATGACATTAAGCTACGAATATGCGAGTTAAAGTCGGGAGAAGTCTATTGCGAAATACCGGTTTATGACACTCCAATAGCGATAATCTACTCTTCGTGTGGCCTACAGGTGGCTATTGGAACCGAAGAAGGGTCAATAAGCCTGGTGGATACGGAAGCAAAAGTAATTACGCATACGCTTGAAGGACATACCAGCCTTATCACCTGCATGGTTTATTCTCCTGATGAGCAGTACATCGCCTCTGGCAATTATGACAGGACATTACGACTGTGGAATACAGAAACAGGTCAATGCTTGTATACTATCTCACTCGAGATCGGATTTGTTAGCGTAATTTTATGGTACGTCTCCGAAGAGGGTTACTTCCTGTTGGTGGGGTGCGATGATTCTTCTCTTGAGATGTATCAGCTTAGGAAAGTGGATGGTCAACTTCAGCATCACTTGAAGTGGGGCACGAGGCAAAGGGCTCTTAATGTTAGCAACCTGTGTATCTTCGATATGATTGGATTGAGTGAATCTATTAAACAGCTCCTGCTGCAGCGCGGAGCAATAGTTGACCCAACACGACGCTCGACGCCCGAAGAAGAAGATAGCTGGGTTAGTACGGTTAGATCAACGGAATCCAAGGCCAAGTTATATTTGCGCAAAAAAGAACTCAAGTCTAAAGCTACAGAATCAAAACCTGGATCGAGTAATGAACAGCGTCTCGTTAACCTAGTATGCAAAGGATGCGATGTGATACCAACGGTTGTCTGCGGTTGTACTACCAAAACTACCAAAACTACCAAAACTACCGGATAGACATTCATAGCTAAGTGATTGGAGGGTATAAAATAAAGACAGTCTTGGACTCTATGTAAAAATTCAAACCAAAGTGTGGCTCATTATTTCATTGAGTCCGCACTTTACTTTTGTATCTTGTATTTTCAACTTGTTTCTTCCTAGTTATTAGTCCTTCTAAGTTTTATTTTATTTTATTTTTTTTCTTTCTTTGCCTATGCTCATGTAACAATAGCTTTTGTTGATTATTTAAGTTTTCGTCATGGCTTTGAGTTGGAAAGCTTTTGCTTTGGATCCATCGCCTCCTTCCAGTTTTTCAAGCTCAACTACTTTTTCTTTCATAGCTTCTCTGATATCAGTAATCTCTGAATCCAATGTTTCCTGATCTGAATTACAGGTTATTAGAGAAGGGTTAAAGAGAAGGAGAAAAAAAAAAAAGATTAGAAACTAATAGACGGACAAAGAAGTTTATTATTTTTGTATTATTTTTATTATATATACCTTTCCTAATCATGGTTTCAATATTCTGCTTGGGCATTTTGACAAATAGATCACCCAAGTTGACCCAGACTTTTTTTTCTATTAGCAGGCAAAAGAAAGAAGAGGAAAAAAAAAAAAAGAAAAAAAAAAAAAAAAAAAAAGAAATTTAGTATTAAAAGAAGAGGAAAAAAAAAAAAAAAAAGTATGCAACCGTATATTTGTTTCTGAATGTGGTTACCACTTGATAGTTCCTTCTTCAGTTTTGAGAGTGCTTCTCGGTTACTATTCCGCCTCCGATCATAATCCACAATCTATGAAAAAAGGAAGAAAAAAAAAAAGTTAGGTCCGTTATTACGATGGGGATACAGCATAAGGCAGGAGAAAGGAGAGTCTGCGTTCTGCACACACCAGTTCTTTGTTCGTCAGGATTTCCTCCGCTATGATTTCTCGCTTTTGGAAGTCTTTGTATTTTATTTTGAGAAAAAAAAAAAAAAAAAAAAAAAAAAAGTCAGACGGGATGTCTATGGCCTATTCACCTCTGAATAATGAAACGATTTCATGCTTCATGTTGTTTTTATTCAAGAGCATGTGCTCTTTTGGGAGGTATTTCCATACTTGACAAAAGCTCCATGGTTATGTATAATGTCTAAGGAAAATGAGATGCGAGGAAGAATTCTTTTTTTTTTTTTTTTTTTTTATTTAATGGAACAACATGAGTGAGACTGCTCTCCTATCTGCTGCGGATAGATTTCGTAGATGGGAAGTATATTAATTACCATTTGGACGCGTTTGGGGTTGTTTCACTCATAAAAAAAAATAAAGAAAACTCTCAGGCTTGAGTACGAGTCTTGAGATCAACCCAAAAGTGAAGCCTTTTCTTCACATCTTCAGGACTAGTACGAGGATGAACCATTTCATTTCTCAAAGCACGAATACTCCTCCATTCCTCATAAATTGCTCTATCCATGTTGATCTCTTTCAGAAACGTCTCCTCTACTTCCTGACGAATCTCACTCCTCCGTCTTGCAAGCTCATTTAAACATTCGACCGTTTCTGCCTTCTCCTTTTGCTTCAACTGTTCACGACTGCTGCCGTTTTTAGAACCAATGTCTTTGAGACTGTACTTTGATTCTATTGCCTTGATCTTTTCTCGTCTCAAACGATCCATACGCTGTTTGGTCTGGCTTTTGACTTTAGAATTAATCCAAGCGAATGCCTCAGAAATGGTGAGTACTATTTTGAATACGCAAGGACAAGCCATGTTGTTGTTGCCATCAATTCTTTTAATTCTCAAATTCATGTTGTTTTCGTTTTCGCTTCCCTCACGGATCTCGTTGAACTGGACATCATGTTCAGAATCTACTGTTGTTATTGTTGTTGTTGCTTCTCTATTGTATCCGTAACTGGTACATGTAAGGCCCTTGGCGTAACGAATACAAGTCAAGTTCAACAATGGTGGAGGTTTCTGTTTAAAGTCTCCTGGGATTATGGTTATGGCTTCAGAATGGACCGTCAACTGGTTATTGGCGTCGTTTGCTTTTGAATGAAAGCCAAAAGCTATCCGAGTCTTCGAAAGAGGTCGCATTAGGGTGAGGGTCCAGCTAGCTTGTAACTTCGTTCTCGACAAAGCCCAAGACATGGGAGGAACGAAACTAAAGACCTGTTCTGTTCTCTTTCCTTTTTCTTTTTTCCTGGTCTATAAATAATGGAACAAATGGAGCCCGATATATTTATTTTATCATCAGTTCGTTGATCAAAGTAGCGATTTATCTCTCACATGCTTATAAATTATATCCTCTTGTAAGTTATAAGTTTGGGTATAAATCAATTTAAACTGATAAATAAATTATATCGCCAATAAAACAACTAAGAGTCGTTCTTCTAGTCTATCAAACTAACGATCATCATGGTTTGTCAAGAAGCAAGTATAGGAGTTATCATAAGTAGAAGAAAAAGTAAAGAAAAAAAAAATAGCAATAATAAATAATTAAACGGCTGAAGAAGTAATAATAAATGTAAGCAAAAAAAAGCGATCAACTGCAGAAAAAACCTTAATAATAATAAAAACTTGAACAACTGGATTATGAATTAAAAAAAAAAAAAAAGCCTCTACATGATCGTGCATTTCTCATCTTTGTTCTTGTCCTTGGCATTGGCATCGACAGGCACACCCTCCAGACGTTGAACAGCACGTTTATCTCCTGCAGCAGCAGCCTTCTTGTACCATCCGATAGCCTCCTCCATGTCCTTGCGTGGGCCAATACCAACCTCTGTGAAATAGCCCATCGCATACAGTGCCTTGGACAAGTTCTTTTCAGCTGCACGGTGAGCCCAAATGTATGCCTCAGCATCTGACTGGGGCAACACACCCTCTGAGCCAACCAAATACCATGCAGCCAATGCGAAGCAGGCTTCAGGATGTTCCTGTTGCGCCGCCAATGTATAATAATGAATCGACAGTCGTGGGTCTTGCTTACAGCCCAACTTGCCATATTCCCAGCACTCACCCAATCTGAATGCAGAATCAGCATGTCCCAGTTCAGCAGCCTGAGAGTAAAGTGATACTGAGTACTCTGGATCGACAAAAACAATGTTTTCAATTCCACGTTCATGCAACTGAGCCAGCTCGTACAGCGCAAAAGGAAACTCGGGGGTAGCTGCCTGAGCAGATCGTTTGAGCCATTTGACTCCATCACGAGGCGATGCTGTTAGACCGAGCTCGCCGTACAATGTCACAACACCCAATCTCCACATGGCTCCGGGATGATTTGCCGAAGCTGCTTTCCTATTGACGTGATGTTCACGAAGGATTGAAGAAAAAAAAAAAAAAAAAAAAAAAAAGGATTAGGTTCGGCCATATTTTTCATGCTCTCATGCATTGACCCCTCCTTCTTTCTCAATGGTTTGTTCTTTTACTTCCGCCGGTTTAGACCGTGAAACGTTGGACAATTCGGTGGAATAGAAGTTAAAAAAAAAAAAAAGTGTGTATATGCGCCATTATGCGGTCATCGTCATGCCCTGAGAAAAAAAAATATATATTACTATTCATTACCTGTAAAACTGAACAGCTCTTGCACTATCCTTACGCACACCTAGGCCTTCATCATAGCATTTGCCGGTTCGGTAGGCTGCATCCGGATGTCCATGTTTCGAGGCCTGTACCCAGAGTGGGAAAGCCTTGTCAAAGTCGGGCTTACCCTTTGCAAAACCCGAGGCATAGCATTCTGCGAGATAATGCTGCGATTCGGCATGTCCATTCGAAGCGAGTTTGCGCAAGAGCTTCATGGCCTCATCAAAGAGTTCTGCCCGAGTCTGAGCGTCTTCCAAGGCCTTACCAGCGTCAATCATGAACGCAGCAAATTCGAATTGAAGTTCTGGGTCATTGGTCTTTTTAGCATTCTGACGATAGAGTTCGAGAGTCTGGGTGTAAGAAAGGAGTGTTGCCTTGTGTCCGGGTTTGAGATGGTCATGAGAAAGTACCGATTGGTCCTGTGGAAGAAACTCCTCTGGTTGCTGCCCTGGATATTGAGGGTATTGCTGCAATTGCTGCTGAAGGTCCTGTTGTTGTTGCCAAAGCTGAGCTTGCTCATACTGTTGTTGTTGATACAGCTGTTGGTCACGTTCATATTGCTGTTGCTGCTGAAAAGACATTTGTCCAGGCAATGTCTGTGAGTAAGGCTGTTGTTGCCGTTGTTGCTGCTGCAGTTGTTGTTGGTCTTGTGCCTGAGTCACCTGTACCATATCACTGTAAAAGTTCTGTTGCTGTTCCTGTGAAGCCGTTGAGTTATGTCCATTGGAGGGTTTAGGAGGAGGGATGGGCCCACTTTGGACATTGGATGAAACACTTGCTGCCATCACGAAGGGACTATAAATGGATGGATGAAATCGAGGATGAAAGAAAGAAAGAAAGAAAGAAAGAAAGAAAGAAAGAAAGAAAAGCGAAAAAGAAAAAGCAGAATGGAGGAGAGATGGGGAATGAGAAGAGAATGAAAAAATGCTAAATAAATAGATATAACGAAAGATATAAACAAATCAAAAGGCACAGTTTGGAGTGGATTATGCACAATCACCAACAATCCAAATCCTTATTTAAATTCACATCCATACGCATTCATTCATATTTAAATATACATATATATATATATATATATCACTTACTCTTTTCTCTCTTTCACTTACTCTCTCTCTCTTTTTACAATTAGTTGGATGTATCAATTGCCAATATTCATAGCTTTGGACAGCAAGAGATAAAAAAAGAGCAAAATAAACGAGCGCACCTGTTGGATCATTGATCGCTCCGTTGTTCTTTTTCATTTTATCGTTGCCTTAAATAAACGTCTCCAATTATATTGCATCTTTCGTAAAAATACAAAATGTAGGCTCGTCACCAGCCAGCCTGAGGACGAAGTTCACGTGCACATGCACGTACTCAAAGGCAAATGTGGCTTGCTCTTGCAGACACTTCTCTCTCAGGCTGGGGACCAAGCTTGACATTTTGGCTGGAGGTCTCTTTTTTTAAATTTGAAAAAGTTTCCAAGTCGAAAACACGCCGCAGGAAAGGCTCTTTTTTTCTGCCATTCTCGCTGCAGAAAATGGCTTTTTTTTTTTTTTCAAAGTCCAGACTAGGATATTGATTTGATCGAGAACGAACGAGGAATGAGAAAAAAGAATGGTATATTTCGCGTAAAAAGAGTCATCATGCTCTAATTAATCAATTATTTACCTTTAATTAAGATAGTGTGCTTAATAAGGTCAGAGAGATGGAAACGAGGATTGTGGAGTAGATCAAATGTTAGAATAATAAAATGTTAGAATAATAGATGGCAATGCAGATGATGGAAACAAGAGACGATTGGTAAAAATGAGGCTAGTGATTTGGGTGTGTGTGTAGGACCGTTTAAAAAGCGCCATCCGTTTGTCAAAAGGGCAAGTGGATAGTGATGGCTTCGTTCATAAAGGATGAACGATTGTAAAGGATACTCAATAGATGTGGTATTTTCATTACAGACAAAATTCCTTTCACTTGATTGACATTCGACTCTTTTCTTCATGCTTGAACCTCGGCGATCCTCCTGCATATGCGGTATTGATGCGAGTTTTTATGACATGCTGTCCCGCATGTTTTAAATATCTAGGTGTTGCCTTAACACTCTGATCGTTGTTGATAACGAGCTCCTAAACTTTAAGCTTGACGTGTATGTCGCCTGGGACCATGGAACGGAGGAATGTGATATTGTCACTTTTCTCCGAGGTTTGATCGGTTTCTCTTCAAGCATGATCCAGTAAACATTATCAATCATCTCCTTGAATGATGCTTGCTTGATCGGATGCTCCTCTGATGTGACCTGGAATGGCTTGTCGGGCCCCAACACACAACTTATGGATGGAAAGATAGGAATAGACAATAGAAACAACTTGCCACTTGCTTGAGAAAATTCTGATGCAGCTGCGGCAATCCGCTTGGTGTGCTCACTTCTCCTTGCTCAGGTTTATTGAATAGCGATATTTTAATTTATCTATTAGTGCTATATTACAAAACTGTGTCTGTGCCATTGTCATAAACAATGGCGAGTAAAAAGAAGTAAAAGAAGCGATCGCTACTTTTTCCTTGGTCCCTTATCCCCGCTTGACCTATTGGGCTTGTCGTCCTCCGCTTGCACTTTTTCTTTTATTTGATCCGCTGGGTTTGCTCAGCTCTTCCTTATTTTCCATAGCTGTAGCTTTATCGACAATTCACTTGATGTCCTCCTTGCCTGTGGTTCTTTGGGCTTGCTTCCTTCTCCCTCATCCCCCACAACTCGGGTCAATTCTGACTTCTTGAAGGACTCCCTTGCACTTTCAAGGAAGTTCAACAAGCTAATATTGAGTACGTCGTTTCTATTCGTTTGTCTTTGATGACAGGGGCTTCTTTGACTTTAGCTACTGAATAATCGCCCTGTTCGTGATAAGACAACATGATAAGGCAGCGTGATAAGTAAGGCCTAAACAACAGCAACAAGGATATGCCATTCGAGCAAAAGCCGAGAGAAGACGGTGATGAGAGGTGTTCTTTGATGCAATTATGGCAAGTTGTATTGTGGGCATCCTTAATTCTTGACCTTATCGCCGATTTTTGACTGTACGGAACCAGGATAATATTTACCCTCCGATTCCAGTACAAAGACGATATCTGGTCCAGATGGGTTCTCTTTTGGAAACAAAAAAGAGCGAGATTAACTTGGATTCATGTATTGAGTCTTTGTTACATTGAGTATCCAAGAATTCGTTCATTGTTATAATTCTGGAAGATTGAAATTAACAAAGCGGGACTGAAATACTCAAAATGTGTGCCCTTTGTGCCAGACGTAGGGGCGTCTAGCAACACACTATTAACCAATTTAACCAATCAAGGGTCATCCACTTCAAACAAGTTAATTGCTGCTATAAATGCTATTGGCTCAACGATTATTGTAAACTCCTTCTTCCTTTGATTAACGACAATTCGAGCAAACGAAGCCTCGACCGGAACAGGCTCATTGTACTCCAATATCAAGTCTTTACTATATAGTAATCTATTCATTCTTTACGGCTCGACCGAAGGTTTCCCTGATGTCGACAGTGGTTTTAATTCCTGCATCCCCTTTGTTAATACGCTTCAGAATCCTAGATTACTCATGGCATAGGTTACCAGATTCTTTATATCCTGGATCAGTGAGCGACCACACCAGGCCCTTGATTTCTTGCTTCCAAAGGCCTGCATCGGCACGTCCAATGACGCTCTCTATTATAGTGATCATTGGACGGAGACGACCACAGGACCAAGCATATAGCATCTCGATTGCTTGATCATTAAAATGGCCTCTCCGCTTTGATGCAGAGCTTGAGTGACTTTATTTCTCCAAATATCGCACAAGTGTCTTGAAGTATGTCCGGACTTTTGCTTGATTATCCCATCTAGGAAACGATACTGCACTCTTGAACCTCGAGTCATCGAGAACTTCTCGATATTCCTTGAAGCTTTGCCAGTTCTCTTAACCCAAGCAGGATCATAAATACAAAAGCCTATCCCGCAAGGAACTATGCAAATTCGTGGTAAATCCTCTGATAAGCCCTCCAATCCATGAAAGAATGCTGATAATATTGGTCGCATAGTGTCGTCGTTATTAATAAACTGGTATTTAGCCTCCCCTCCCCACATCCTGCGCCTCGTTCAAAACAACCAAAAACATAGAGTTGCTTTGATGCCGCTCCGAAAGGACCCTGATTAGATTGTCGAACCAATCTTGCAGGAGCTTGTCAAGGCAATTAAAGCCAACTCCACCAAGCAATTCTGCTACTTTTGTGAAGAACGCTAGGAATAAATCTGTCCTGGATGGAACCGAGTTTCCTCAATGGACTTCTCCAAGGACCTGTGGACACACTTGCAATAGCATCCATTGGCTAGGCGTCATTCTACCTTCGGACAAGTAAAAAGGGTAAATTGGCCGAACATACAACTAATATGATCTCATTGGCCACAGGTTGCCATCCCGTGCACGCGCACCATGGGGCTAAAACGACATTTATGTCTTTAGAGTGGAGCTGTCATCCTAGCTCCCGGTAAACGTTTTGGCGCCCTGGATGATGATAATTGATAGGTCTTTCGCAAGTGGCAAGCATCCAGATGACAAAGCATACGAGAAAGGATAATTTCCTATGCCAGCTGTCCTGGTGATAATAATATGGTTTTGGGTCTCATCATCAGACTCTCACTGGGTTCTCCACAGGATTCTTCATCTCTATCCGTTTTTACAAAACTCTTTGATAATAGTATCACAAAATCCTGCCTTTTCTTGCACACAAGATCGCATAATGATCACAGCTTTATAAAGTTCTAAATGCCCCAGTAGAAGGGAGGACGGATTAAACCGCTCTATTTATTCGTCTAGAAGGTAAGTGGATAATGATGGCTTCATTCATAAAGAATGAACCATTGTAAAAATTTCTCAAGGAATGGGTATAATGCTTTTTTTTAAAAAAAGACAAAATTTCATCCACTTGATTGCTATTCGATTTAATTCTTCAGATTCGTACCGGCTGATCCTCCTGAATATGCAGCTTCGATGTCGATTTTTATGACACGCTGTCTTACATGTTTCAAGTATCCAGGTATTGCCTTGGCATCCTGACTATCGTTAATAACAAACTTCTGAACCTTAAAATTATCATATATGTAACCTGGTACCACAAAATAGAGGAAAATAGTATCATCACTTCCCTTCGACTTTGATCGGTCTCCCTTCGACTTTGATTGGTCTCCCTTCAAGCAGGGTCCAGTAATATAATCAATTATCTTCTTGAATGGTGCTTGCTTGATCGGATGCTCCTCTGATACTGTGACCTGAAATAGCTTGTTGGGTCCCCATGCAAAATCAATGCACGGAAATTTAGAATGTTCTGGTACAAACAACTTGCCAGCTGCTTGAGTGAGCCCTGATAATTCCTCTGAAGTCCGGATAAACACCTCTTCTGGATTTGCTGGAAAATCAAGAACTCCTGTTTCACCTGACTGGAGATCCCTAAAGGGAAATCTAATATCACCACGTCGAAATAAGTGATAAGCATAGATTTCAAACAGTGGGCCTTTAGCTATATCCTTTCCGCCTATGACAAGTCTCGCCAACACATCGACCCAAGTGCTATCTTTTATTTTGTCCATAATCTGTGATTCGACCCAACGAGATGCCCACACCAGGTGGAAGTGGAGGTGGTCAGAAGTAGGAACTCTATGGAGTAAACGACTAAATCCACTCGCATCTTTTCCTCGTGCAAAGAGCCTTAGAAGATCTGCTGGTTTCTTGAGTGTACTAATGGCATCATTGACGCGGAATAACGCAACTTCTTTAGCACGCCCAGTATTATTTTGATTTTTGGATAGTACATTGGCTGGACACTGTAGAACCTGTCTTGGCACGCCCCCCAAGTAGTAAAAAAGCTCCTCCAAAAATGCTTCACTCACTACATGAAAAAACTTTACATTGGCTCTACATTCCTTAAGCTCATCCAGACTCCAGAGTGACATGTGATAGTAGCTTTCTGGTGTATTTTCCTTGGTGAGTTCATCGTAATGCCCATAGAGAGTTCTTGGCGATGCTGAAAATATCGTCCTGGCTTTACCTGGTTGAGGATTTTCACCACTATCAACTAAATACCACGTTTCACGTTGCTCAAGGAAATTTTTGAAATCTACTCTCTCCCCATAACGTTGGCAAGTTGTTCCTCCGTAGGCATAACATTTGGTATTCTGCTTCTCTTGGAAAATAATAATCGGTGGATTTTCCTCATCGTGTTCGGCAAGGAGGCGGATGGCAAAATAGACCAAAAAGGCTGACTTCCCAATTCCAGGCGTTCCAGTGACAAAGAGTCGGTTCAAACGAGTTACTTCATGAGGGGTACTTAATTCGGATGTAATATGGTCATAAAGCTCTTTATACTCATCTCTGATATAAAGATGCCTTGTTTTAGCAATAGGGAAGATACAACCCTCAGGAGCAGTCAATATTTTGGAGCCCTTGATACCACCAGAATTTCGGAGCTCGCGAGCCACGCTAATAATGCTGTAGTAACAATCATCTACTGGTAGCCCCCTCATGTACGAAAGCGCCTTGACCCTCTCTTTCGAGTTTAGACGCGAGATGGCAGGGCTACCATTCACTATCCCTTTCGTTACAAGCCCTGCTTCTGTAATCGCATCCATAAGAGGATCTCTACTTATACTTGGACGAGCTTTTTTAGAGGGTGACTCTGATAAAGGAGATAGAGTGATCAAAGTCAATATTTTTGATTTATTGCATATCACTCTAAAATGATCAATAACCAGATTCTCGGCCAAAAGCACTCACCAGAATCTCCATCTTGTTTTCTTTTCTGAGCTAAGTATCAAAAGCGAATAATGAGAAAGAACGTTGAGTTATCAAGACACAAACCAAATGGTGATATTATGCACATGGCCGTTTAAGATACAAACCAAGCTTCATCAGCTGGAAATATCAACAATCAGTCCATCAAGAGCCAAGGATATACCTCGCTGTGGTGGCTTGACAAAAACATGGATAGTTTTCCTTGGAAGTTCAGAATTAAGTATCTCCCAAAGCTCCATTGACGCGGGTGCGAGAGCCTCTTTTGACTCGATTTCTGACTCGACGACGGTCTTGTCTTCGTCAGGGATGGAGACCTTGTAGAGGGTGAGCTGGTCAGCGTCAATATCCTTAAATGCATTGGCTTTCTCTGCTTTGATGGCTTGCTTGAGTATCCCGACCGATTTATCGCAGAAAATCTCTACTGGGAACGACGTTGCTTCTCCCTCGACAACGCAGTTCAGCAGTAGCAGTGGGATGGCGCGCTTTTTTCGTTGTGGGTGCTGGTTTACTCTTTTTCGTTTATTGAGTGTGGAGGCATCCTCAGGCTTATTTGCAGTCATTTTTATTTGTGCTTGGCTCTCTGTGGAATCATTTGCAGCCATGTTTTTTTGTGTTGAGCTCCTTGTGGTGGCCATTGAAAATTAAGATGAGTGGGACTGAGTGTGGTTGAAATGCAGGGAGAATGATGGTTAAATAGGCGAAGGTATATTCTATACTCTTTCACACTCGTGGTCGCTGTATGAAAACTAAAATGAAAAATGTGTAAGGCAAAATAAAAAAAAAAAGGAAAGGAAAGATAAATTTGTTCCTTTATTTCAAGGTTAGGCTTGCGTGAGAAAATATTTTTTTCAAATCAGCCACGTGCCATTTTCTGGGTCATTGTGACGTGACAATCTTTAGTGCGCAAAGAACTCATTTCTCAGTCTCGTCACCAGCCTGAGGACGAAGTTCATGTGCACATGCACAGGCTGGGACCAAACTTGACATTTTGGCTGGAGGTCTCTTTTTTAAATTTGAAAAAATTCCAAGTCGGACATACCGCGGGAAAGGCTCTCTTTTTTCTGCCATTCTCGCCGCAGAACATTGATTTGATTGAGAACGAACGAGGAATGAGAAAAAAGAATGGTATATTTCGCGTAAAAAGAGTCATCATGCTCTAATTAATCAACTAATTACCTTTAATTAAGATAGTGTGCTTAATAAGGCCAGAGAGATGGAAACGAGAATTGTTGAATAGATTCAAATGTTAGAATAAGAGATGGCAATGCAGATGATGGAAACAAGAGATGATTGGTAAAAATGAGGCTAGTGATTTGGGTGTGTGTGTAGGACCGATTAAAAAGCGCCATCCGTTTGTCAAAAGGGCAAGTGGATAGTGATGGCTTCGTTCATAAAGGATGAGCGATTGTAAAGGATACTCAATAGATATGGTATTTTCATTACATGATCATCCCTTGAGAATAAATAAATTATCGAAATGTTTTACGAAACAGATCAAGGACATCAAGAATTGTATGTTTGTTGCATCTTCGTATGGGAACTCGCCATCATAAATATAACTTTACAAAAAAGCAACGCTTTTTTTCTGCTTCCTAAGATAGAAGCAAACGAGCACACAATCCTAAAGGCATCAATGCTGCATGCCTGCTGAAGGAGTAAAACGCAAATTCCAATAATGAACATCATGCTCGCTAAACTGTGCACAAAAGATGCCATTGATATGGGTGATGGTGACCATCCTTTAAACAATCTAAATATATATTATTATTTCTCTTACAAAAAAAAAAATAAAAAATAAAAAATAAAAAAATAAAGCTATTTGTTATCCCACTTGATTTTTTTTTTTTTTTTTTTTTTTTTAGTTCTTGATGGCGTACTTCATCTTTCCGTGGTCATTGATCACGCAGATGTGATCAAGGTCCCGGAAGTATTCATTGTAGTCAAGAGCATATCCAACAACAAAGGCATTTGGGATAGCAAATCCAACATATTCGGGAATATATCCGTTTGACAAAGGAGTCTTCTTGATCAACAGCGATGCCACTTTGACCGATTCTGGTGAATATTGCTTCAACTTTTGCAAAAGCTGGACCATAGTCTTTCCAGTGTCAATGATATCCTCAACAATCAATATGTTCTATTTGTCATGAAATTTGAATAATAAAAAAAAAAAAAAAAAAAAAATAGTGTAGGCCAATTAGGATTAAGATATAACGATTCGTGTTGCAAGTGAAGCACAATCTATGCTTGCCACTTCCTTCTACTTTTTTTTTTTTTTTTTTTTTTTTTCTGTTTACAAAAAAAGAAGGTAAAGTACCTTTCCCTGGAACTCCTGGCATTCCTCCTCTGTTAATGATAACTTGACTTCTCCAGAGGTCTCTCCGCTATAACTCTTAACCTTGATGAACTCTAGGCTCAAGGGAACAGTCTTCCCTCCACGAGTGACATTCTTCTTGATATAGTTGACAAGATCAGCAAAGAATTGGTGACCTCCCTTAAGAACACAGCAGACAACAAGAGGACCCGTTGCTTCCTGAACAATCAACTTGGCCAACTTTTCAACTCTGTCCATGATCACGCCGTGAGGGATCAACACACTCTCGAGAGCATCCTCATAGTGATCAGGAATCACGAAATGGTCAAGGGAATATTGAAATGACTCAGTGTTGATGTCGATCCACTTCTTCTGTTCCATGGCTGTACTTTTGTTGAAAGATGATAGGAAGAAGGAGAAAGGAGAGGAAAAGGAAAAAGGAGAGTAGGAGAGAAAATAAAAGGAACGGCCCGAAGGTTAATGGGACATGAGTGAAAAACTGTCTCACACTCACAAAGCAACAAACAATTTTTTTTTTTTTTTTTATTAAAACGTGCGTTCAAGTAAAATGTTTGACTGCTAAAAGTAAAAAGGAACGGCGGACCTTAAGGGTCCCAGGATGAAGTCAAAACTTTGCTTAGTTTGCTGGACAATTTCTATGAACATACTTCATATTCACTGAACTCATCCCACAGCTTTTCAAACTGCGCCTTGAAGGCCCGTACAGCTTTGCCAGAGTTGGTGAGAGTCAAGTCCTCACGGTTATGGAAGCGAGCTCCTTTAGTCCAGTTATACGACCCACTGATCACTAACGCATCGTCAATCACCGCAAACTTATGGTGCATATGCGATACACTTAAGAAAGAAAGCAGCTGTTAATGATACATTCCAAAAAATAGACATTAATACTTTTTTCATCCTCTCCGTCTTACCTGCCATCGACACGTGCTGGGATATTGTACTCTCTTGCCAATCGCTTCACATCCGAGCCTTGGTCGTCAGACTTACAAAATACATAAAAATGGAAATAAGCGACAAAACTAAAACTGTTCCTTCCCTGCGAAAGGTTTCAAATGCATATAACATACCTTATCATCGTCTGTGATAATACGGACACTGACTCCTCGTTCGTGCGCCCGCGCGACTGCTGCAGTGATCTGGTCGTCTGTGATAGTAAAGACACAGATGTCCAAAGACTTCTTCGCATTGTCCAATGTCCGGATCAAGTTGACAAAATTTTCCTCAGATGGAAAAAACACTGGACTGACAAAGACTCTACTCTTCGGTTTTTCTGGATCATCATCGTCATCTTCAGAATCTTGATCATCACGACTGTCATGATGGTGGTGCTCAATACGAATATGAGTACTACGAGTGATTCTCTTCACCCTATTATTATCATCGTCATCATCATCTTTTTGTCCAGGTGAAATTGGTGGAGTCGAGGGTCCATCTCTACTTTCACGACTCTTGATCATTGATTCGAGCCAAGAAATCTTGAAATAGGGAAATAAAAGAGAGAGAGAGAAGGAAGAAAAAAAAAAAAAAAAAAAAAAAAAAAAAAAAAAGGACATTGATTGAGCGAACATAGAATTCCTTCTTACGATATAATCTGTTACTATAACTGTGTTCTTGAGCACAATGTATTATCGAAAAGGGAGGGAGCAAACTATTGCCATACCACTTCTCGATCATGATCGCTCGATGCTGAATCTCGAGCAGTATCAAACAATTGGCTGAGTGATGATGAAGACCCATGTTCCTGAACACGACTTTCGAAAACAGATATAAGTTTTCGTGCGATGCTGCTCTCCACTTTGTTCACAGATTCCCTCACGATAGAAGAATAGTCGATACTCATTGCTGGATAGAAGGTTAACTTGGAGAGAAAGTGAGAGATGGTTATTCTGTTAAGGCGAAGAAAAGAAAAGTCTCGATGGCGTGTGAGAAAAAGAGAGAAGAGAGAACAATCCAATTGGCATGCTCCAATATATTTTGTTGTCAGTGCACTCTTTCATAATTTATTATTTCACGCTAAAAGAACAAAGCAATTCCGAACTTTGTGATATGAGTGTCCAATCTACCCTTACCTACTACTGAACATTATTAAAGCCAATGGGAACCAACTTACAGTTGCTTTATGTTTGAAGGGATTGGCCCTCAGCGATAAGGAAGCGTGCGACGATATCCTAGATAAGTTGGCATGTGAAATCACTGCAATTTTCTAGTGTCCACTAGTCTTGTTCTTGGTCTTATATTCCATTCCGCAGCATTAACGAGACCCTTTCTCAGCTGCTGATGACAAGGAGACTAATGACTATGGAGAGGCTACTGCTCGCTTGGAGAAGCGGTCAGGGTCGGACTGGGCCAGCGATACCACATACTATACCATGTACAAGCATCATTATAATCATTCTCGGTGATTTCACTGACCTTAGTGTATGCTAGTAGTCAACAGCAGCCAGGGCAGCAATCCACTGCCTCGTCATTCATGGGCTCTTTAATTAACATGGTGTTGTAGCAGCTTACTGTGGAGTGCGGCAAATTTAGACGGACCCTATGTGAGCAAGGACGCTTCTCGCAAGGCGACTTCATTACATATGAAGTGTACAATGCTTGGCCCTTCACAACTTCCTCCAAGGTGGGAGGGACTAGAGACCCAACACTTTCGGCTATCACCAGCCGGTCTGCTGAGGAAAACAGCATACGCAAAATATAGCATAAGATTAAATGTTACAACACGAAAAAGATGCACTAGATTGAGCTGTCGCTCCAGGGTAAAGAACACGATCAAACTGGAGCACTGCGTCACGTGACAAGCACACGGGCTCCATCATGAAGTGCGTAGGCAGTTAATTACAGAAGTTTTCGAGGTTAGTACTTTGGAAATAGATAAATAACTGAGAATTGCAGTGAAGGTCCCATATCCTTTCTCATTTATCTTTGGCTCCCGATACCCACGTTACTTGACCCATTGTATATTTTTCAATTGTAGCCCTATGAATATAAAGTAATGCCTTTCAGGTGCATTCCCAAACATCTAGGCACAGTAGTAGACCTATAAAGCTGCCTTAACTATAATGCTACATTCATCATTGAACAGGGCTATTCTAGCGTTTTTGTCACTGTCATTTGCTGCTAGATTTTCAATATGTTTAAATAAGTTTTCATTAAGGCCGAATATTCGAGAGAAGGTTATCAACCCCTTCTTGGCTCTGGGGTGAAGCCTTCTTGTTCTTGATTGTCTCTAGATATTTAAGGCGCACAATGATGGCTGATGGATTCAAAAAATTGCATTCCCTCAAAACATAGCGAAGGGGAGTATCAATAAGTTAGTATATTGATATATCAATGTAGTGTCATAAACGGAGCAGAGTGGTTAGCGTTGGTCCTTTCTTATGTTCATCTACATTGCCTACCACATCGGTCTTTTTTCTTTTTCTTTTTTTTCATCATTTCATTTTGGTTCTCCTCCTTTTTTACTCCCTCTACTTTTGCTCTTCCCATATTTGCTTTTTACTCTTGATTGCAATTTGCCAAATACCCTTCAGCACACTTCAACCATGGCCGCCGTAATAAATCTCTTGTGCATTGTTGATGGGGAGTCAACGGCGTTTCCAGTGGATATCCTCCCGGGGAAGTCCATCTGCATTCTAAAGAGGAGAATTAAGGATGAGAAGCATCCAGAGTTTGCGGACATCTCATCTAGAAGGCTTGTGCTCTGGCATGTTTCCCTTCCTGAGGATGGTAATCAAGTCAATCTTGACGATATACATATGAAGAGAGAAATCTCCAAGGAAACAAGACACGTCTCAGATATATTTGGCGCAAAAGCACCAGGAGGAGGCACTATCCATATCATTGTCAAGCGGCCCCAAGATAAGGTACTAACCTTTGGATGTATCTATACGGAATTATTGATGAGCGAATGGTCTTGATTAGTCAAGCTTTCGCCACTTTTTCTTTTTCTTATTATTATTAGGTTCTATTGTAAACATCTCTCTTGACTAATTCATCAAGCTGTCTAGTGGTAAAAATAATCAAGTCAACAACAACAGCTTCACCGGCATTGAAGTGAAATTCCCAGTTGTGCGAGACCATATCCATGACTGTTCGCTTCAAAAAAAAAAAAAAAAAAAAAATGGGTAAAAGATATAAAATTACGATGATACCCGAGCCCCCCATGCCCCCGTCAGCTCGGTGTAAAGCCAATGGAAACCCTAGCAGTAGGCCATCCGTCAATGATAGTTTAACCTCGTTAGCAACAGATACCTCAACAAATTCGAACCAAACTATGGAATAAAAGTTATACTCGATGCTGTTAAGCCTGCTTTGGGTTATCGCGATATGAGAAAAAGGCCAACAAGGAACTGATTATGGGCACCTGAAAAGGGAAATGTGTATTTGGCTTTCTTGTCTTATTTTCTTCAAGAGATGGCTCTAGCCTGGATGTAGAAGATTGACCATGAACATGCTGTGGTTGATCAACTATTTACAACCGATGAACGCAAGACATAGGTGAAAATGGTGATTATGGGAACAACTATTATTCCACCTTCGCCATCAACTCTTTCAAAGGCTGTGACATCTTCTTGACTCTACAGTAGATCCTTTTTTGTCTCTAGCCGCTTCCAGATCCTTAAGACGATCAAGGAAATAGCCAGTGGGACCAAAAGGTTGCAGCTGATTCGTAGCGTATCTCTTCTATTGCTTGATGAAAGGGTATGTCAGTATATCAGTGTATTAGCATAGACGGAACACAATGATCAACGTTGATCATTTTCCATTGTCCATCCACATGGCCTACTCGATCTTTTTTTTTTTTTTTTTTTTTTTTTTTTTTTTTCATTCTTTCCACGTTACCTTTTAATCTATTTCTCTTTTTCTTTTCAAAACTTCATTTTTGCTTCCCATCTTTTGTATTCCCTCTATTCCTGCTCTCTTCAATCTTCACCTTTGATTAGCATCTATGGACAACGAAATCACTCTCCTCGGTATTACTGATGGGAAGTCAACATCATTTCCAGCGGACCCGCCCTGGAAAACCTACCGACCATATCAAGGAGAAGATTAAGAAAGCAAAGTACCCAGAGCAATGATTTTCAGTGGTGAACCTTGCACCACCACTCAGAATATTCTCACCGTCGACGGTTTCTGGAATGATAGACCAAAGGCGAAACAGGGTATATTTGTACCAGAGTTACATCATACCACTACTTGTACAGCAGCGGAGTATCACCGGTTAAATCCACCGATGAAAAAAAAAAAAAAAAAAAAAAAAAAAAAGCACAGAACGCGTAAATGCGTAGTGCAGCAGCAAGTCCAATCCTCTCAAACACATCCCTCAAACTGTCGATTAATTCATGGTGTCCTACTTATTTACTCAAGTAATGGTGCTCTTTTGTGGGCAAGTCACGCCACACGGAAACAGTCCGCAGAGGGAGATGCCTTAATACTTTTCAAGCCGGGCATGTACATTTGCGACATAATAGAATATACCAACCACTCTTTGTGATTTTAGTGGCAATTTTAGTGACGTCCATCGAGTCAAATACATTTTTTTAGCCGGCTCTTGCCCCGTTAGAAAATTTATTGCTTTGCTTCGTGAGGACAAAAAAAAAACGTAGTGTTACGGCTGGTTTCGAGAATAAAAAGTGTTGCCATACAACGAGGGAGAGCCGACATCGAAGGATCAAAAAGCAACATCGCTATGAGCGCTGGCTGCCACGAGCCAGTTATTATATCCTATGTTGCACCTTTTACGCCTCTGCTCAGCAGGGACAACATTGTGTGTGAACTACAATACTAACATAGATGGTGGGGATTAATGTCTGTTTCGTCTACTCCCTGTTAACAAGGTTCCACAGAGGTGAGGAACTTGTTTTGTAATCGCTCTAGATAAATTGTATTGCCCTGAACTATGAAACTCTCAAAGTTCGCACGGTATGCTGTGAAGAGCCGATTCATATCTACAAGCCATAATATTGGGTCTCTATGTGGCTGCTGAGTACTACACCAAACCAAACCGTTTTTTATTCAATATCACTGCCTTTCTCTACTCATTTTTTTTTTTTTTTTTTTTTTTTCTTTGTACAGTCGACTTTTGATTATCCGAGCGATTTGCTATCGAAATCGTTCGGATAATTTTAAAGTTTTACTGAATTAACTAGTATTTTAAATTTTACAAAATATATGATGTTCAGGTGACATTGCACTTATTTCTTCCCATGTATGCATGAAATTTTCCAGTCACTTCGTTCGAATATGCAGTTAAGGAAAAAAATGAGTGCAATGTCACTTGAACTTCATATATTTTGTAAAATTTAAAATACTAGTTAATTCAGTAAAACTTTAAAATTATCCGAACGATTTCCACTGTGTATCGTTCGGAAAACCAGAATTCGACAAATTAAGCATCTCTCTTCCCATTGTGCGATGTGTGGGGTGTTGGAGAAGCAGGTGTCAGAAAGCCTGAAGTTCTTGGTAATCTTTGGTCGTTGAAAGTTTTTTTGCGGCTATTACCCTTCCTATGCTCTCTTCTGTATAATCAATCTTCTATTGATGCTCGAGATTCCAGAACTAAACTAATAAATAAATAACGAGGGTTGCCCTAGGCTAGTCCTCATCTTTCTTTTTTTCGATGTGGCAGAAAAATGAAGGTGTGGTGGGACAGGAAAGGGTTACTAGCTCGGATAATGGACGTAAAGACGTCCTTTGTCGACTTAGTACTCCACAAAGCGTTGTGGTCTGGCAATGTGGTCAACAGAGGTGATCAGTTGATGTATGAGCAGATCATGAAATCCACTAGGTGAGAGAATAGACCTGGCTTTTAAGTTAAAAATACGCGAGTTAAGAATTGAGGTGTCTGGTTAGCCGGTAAAAGATTGGCATCCAGGTTCAGCTAGAGGGTAGCTGGGTACCTCAGTTGACTGGCAATATCAACGCCTCCCATGTTGAATTTGTAGTCATTAACAACTTTATATATCTTCAATTCTTTTCTTGGGGATGGACCAACGATCTCTCGCACTTTCGCTCCATTGGGACTCGTTACTCGAGGATGGCATCTCAACCCCATAACCTCCTATTCTCTTCCGACCATCCCATGAATGGTCGTCAACATCTTCACAAGCTCATTGTCGTGCCAGCATACAGATAAGGTATCTGCTTGTGCTATTCCAGAGGGTGTATCCCAGTCCAAGTTTATATTGGAGTTCTTTTGGAATTCCTGCAATATTTCCGGCTGTCCCACATGCACCAATCCCTTGATCCCCGAAATACTAGAAGAGCTTGTCACTTGTGAAGTGACCATATTAAATATTGTATGCATACCTATCTTAGGGAAACTGTTACAGAAGGTCATTAACAAAACTTTGGATGAGGTTAATTAATTTGGAAACAATACAAAGGATGAAGGCAAAAAGGTGTAAGTGTATCCACGATCGCAAAGGGACCAATTTGGAGTGATTTGGAGTGACATAAAAAAAATTAGTAGCGTTTTTTTTTTTTTTTTTTAGTCTTCATCGTCTTTATTATTCATTTCTAGATTATTAGATGGCAAATGCTTTGAAAAAAAGGAAAAAAAAAAAAAAAAAAAAAAAAAAAGAAAAAAAAAAAGAAAAGAAAAGAAAAAAAAAAAGTAATTAAAAGAAATAAAAAAAATCATCCTCTTCCCCTCCTGACTCTTAAGAGTTTGTTTCAACGTTATCGAGAAGACAAAAAAAAAAAAAAAAAAAAAAAAGAAGCCTATATAATGATCAACGATTCAATGTCCCTGCTCTCTTCCTCGTCCGGAACATTGACAGTCCCGAAAGCCCAGAGGTGGTGGACATCCCAGACACGGAGGAAGCAGCGCTATTGGGCGTGGGCCGCTGTGTTAGCATGGACTGTTGTGAACGCGGTGCTAAAATAGAAGGAGACCCTCCTCCTTCAGAAGCTGGTGCTGTCGGCGATGTTGGCGCCGATTGTGTGAAAGCACTCAAGCTTGCTAAGGAGCGCGAGATAGACATCCGTGAACGTAATCTTGGTAGTGCAGGAAGCTCCTTGTCCAGAGATAGCACTCTCGTCCTACTTCTAGTATTACCATTACTACCCCCATTGCTGTTGTTGCTAGCGCTGGTGCTGGAACTATTATTCTGTCTTGGGTCATAGATGCTAATCCTCTTGTTGCTTTGTGTATCTACATCTACATCCTTAGCAATAGAAATAGGGCGTGCACCGGCCGTCATTGTCATGCTCTCATTACTGATCTCATCCTTGGGGTTGCTGTCGTTACGATCAATATTTTTGCCGTTATCATTATTATCGCTGTCGTTATCATTGGCATTATTAAGATTATTACGGGTATTGGTATTACTGATAGTGTCATTGGTATTAGTGATGTGGGTATTAGTATTGGTAGTGTCGTTATTAATATTCGTATGAGTCGTTTTGGACATTGGCATTATCGTCATTGATGTTGCTGTGGTTGCTGTGGTGGTTGCCTCCTTGGCTTTGCCCCTGGACGGCTCCGATGGTGCTGGTGCGCTAGTGGTCGGCTTTGACTCATTTACTTCTAAGACTTCTTGACTCCCCTCAGTTTCCTTGAGGATTCCAAGGCTATAACCACCGGCACCACTGTTACTTCGTGTTCCTCGTCCTCCATCCTTTTCCTTTTCCTTCTCCTTTTGCTTCTTTTCTTTTTCCCTCTCCTTCTCTTTGGCTTCCATCTCTTCTTCAGTGGCCGCACTTATCTTCTCAATATCCTCTCTCCTAAGTCGAATCCTGTATGCAGTCTTATCCAATAACACTTCTGGCCCCAATATCTCAAGTGGTACATGTAAAAGGAAATCCATACACTCCGATGTCGACGGACAATTGTCCAAGAGGTGCCTTCGACAGATCCTTAACACCGCCAAAGCCACTCTGAACAAGGTTTTGACGCCATCGAAATAAAACACATCCCAGACTCTCAGGACAGACGCCCAGGGAAGTGACATTGTGAAGAGCGGCAGAAACCATTGTGTCATATACATGATGGGGGACATCTCGTTCTTCTTTAGGTGCTGTGCTAGTCGTGAATCCTGTATTTCAAGCAAACGTTCAAAAACCCCTGCATCAATCCGGAGCTGCCGTAAATTGGGCGTAAAGTACTCGTTCAAGTAGTTCTCAATGGTTGCGACTAGGAGCCAGAATGCCTCTTCGACAGGCATTTGCATCAGCATCATTCCCACAAGACGACCCATTCCTTGACAGTAACCCACACTGGGCTTGTAGTGAGCGTAGGCCTTCAAAATCGAATGGAGATCTTCTTGACCTGTTCCTCCCATACCATCCCGGAAATGAACATGGTCTGGATAGCAGCGGTTGACATCTCGAGCAATGACGTCATGAATAGGAATATGCCCTCTTGTCTGCAGCTCTTGGAATAGCCCTGGGACATGGTAGTGATGTGAATTGGCTAGGAATTGCCATACACGTCCACGAACCGATGTAGGCACTCCTCGTCTGGCAAGCTTTTTATACTGTACACAAGGTTTTGCGAGGTTAATATATGTAAAAATAAAATAATAATAAAAAGTACAGTACAAATATATATTTTTTTTTTTTTTTTTTTTTTTTGTAATACCTTGCTCGACTTCTTGACTTGATCAGGCTGCAGATGAGCAAGGGCATAGAGCCATTTGCTCTCGCTCATTCGAATGTAGTCCCTTTGCTTCCTCATCGCGCGTCTGCGTTCATGGTCGGCCAAAAATTTCGAGTCCAGTTTAGTAGCCTTGAGAGTCTCGCCTACAAGCGTTGTCGAAGCCATTGCTGTCATACCATTGTGATCTTGTTGCTGTTCCTCATCAAAGTTCCCGAGGATGAAGCCATAGTCATTCACAATCACAGCTGACTTCTTTTCCGCGGTGGATCCAGAGCCAGATCCATTGCTTGATGGCGGCCCATCTCCTCCTCCTCCTGCCTCAGTAAGCTCTTCTCCATCTCCACCACCCAGGCTCATGACTATCGAGTCGCCTTCATCTTCATCAAATTCCGAGAAATCAAACATGTCATCAAAATCATCCACTTCAAGTACAAGCGCACTAAGTGGACGAGAATCCACTCCTCCTTCAATACCATTTCCTAGCACATGTGGTTTCTTGGAATCCTCTTCAGTGGAATGATACGATCGTCGTTTCGCTTTTCCAAACCAGTTGCTCATCGATCGATGCTGTTTCTCGAGCTGAGGATGACTTGAGTGACTCATACCCGACGTCAAATGCTGTTGTTGCGATAGCTGCTGCTGCTGTAGTTGTTGATGATGCATATGAATCTGGAACTTTGAAGAAGAAGTAGACTGCGTGCTCGTCATCGTGAACGTTGTCGCTTCACTCAGTCTACGTTGATGGCCCGTCTTCTTCCTTCTAAATTCATTGACAGCAATATACCCACCCGCTCCATCGGTCGTGAACTTTGGTGGTGGCAAAGGTGGAAGTTGAGGTAGCGGTGTAATATGATGGACAAAAGAATCGGTACTAATACCAGTACTAGCACTATTATCAGCACCGCCACCATTACTAGTATTACTACCTCCCGCTGCCATTGCTGCTGTTGCTGTTGCTGTTGGCGCTGCTGTTACTGCCCTTCCATGGACATATTGGTCCATAATTCGTGTTTCTTCTAATCCAGACACCTTTCGTTGCTGTTGCTGTTGAGGACTCAGGTCTGGATGGCGCGCTGGGCCAGAGTTAGATCGTTGATGACCACTCCGGTCGGTCATACTCCATTGCCGCAAGCGCTCCAATCTACTGGACACGAATGAATAACCAGTGGAAGTAGAGTGGATGCTACTGCTATAGCTAGAAGCCGAAGTTGGGGCTGCAGCTGGGACTGGAATAGGAACCGGAATTGAGGCCGGGACTGAGGCAGCAGTTGGAGGTTGGATCCCTAATAAGATTGCTGGACGCTCCCTGACAGACCGACTCCGAGATCGTCCAAAAAATCCAGTACTTTTATTGGTTGTTGTCGTCGATGTTGTCGTTGTTTCCTTATCGTCCAATGCCGCCGTGGTCGCGACCGATGTCATAGATGGGTCGTTCGACAGCATACGTACGACTTTGAGATCCACAGGTATTCTGGAGGTGCGATCAGCAAATAATCCAGCATCGGGGGCAATCGAAAACCCTACTCTCCGAAGGACATTATGTGTTTTGGATCGAAGATCACCAAAAACTGCAGCAAAATTGCGCTCATTCTGCGGTTGATGATTAAGGTACTGATTTTGGATTTGGAACTCTATAGCTGCTTCGGGTGTGTCAAACAAAGGAGATGCAAGAGATGATGATGAAGAAGTTGAATCTTTGTTCGTCCGAAGTCGTCCTGGCTTTTTACTACTACTTTTACTACTGCCGTTGCTGCTACTTTTTTTGGGAGGTGTCGGCGGTTGTTCTTCATTGGTCGGGGTCCCTGGGCGACTTGAGCGGGCAATAGTAGCGGTAGCCATGGACTCTGTCTCAAAATCACATACTAGTACTTCTGCTTTTACAAATCCATCGAGTTGCGTGCTTGAGTTTCTTGCTGCCGAACCACCTGAATTGAGCGGATATACATGTTTAGATGACCCTGACACCAAAGAGTTATTGGAAGATGAAGGTGTGGAGAGTTGATAAAGGGGTGTGGCAGATGATGACGATGATTGCAATAGTGTTGATCCTGACCCTGGCTCTAGTCCTATTTGCTCCTGTTGTTGCTGTTGTTGCTGTTGTTGCTGTTGTTGCTGTTGCTGTTGCTGATTAATAGTATTATTTGACTTGAACATATTTGATTTGAAAACACTTGATTTGATTCCCAGCATATTGGTTGTGATAGTTGCTGAGGAGCCATTAAGATTATTATTTGAAGAATTCGTATTAGTAGTAGCTGCTGTTGCTGTTGATTGTGTTGATGTTTGTGAAGATGATAATACAGTATTCAAATCCTTTTGCTGTTGTTTAGAAGATGAACTTTTGGAGTAGAGTGAAAATCCACAGCGAGAGGCTCCATGGGATGGGGGAGCAAGGTCAGCAGTGCTCAGTGGTCTAAACGACGCTGGAACCTCTGAGAGCGATAAACTCCGCTGCAACAAGGACGAGGGAGGAGCTGCTGGTGAAGAAATAACAAGTCTTCTTGGTGTATTGGCTTGAGAGATAACTGTACGCTTCAGGTTATCAGCACTCATCACCTTTCGAGGCCCCTGTGCCTGAAGACTATCCGCCCTTTCTTTCCTTCTCCCCCCTCGCTCCTCGCCATTTAACCTTCCAATATATGGCTCTACTGTGACAAGCGTTGTAAGCTCTGGCCCAAGTAATGGAGTCTTTTGTTCTATTGTCGCCACCGTTGTCGGCGTCACAATTGTTGGTTTTACTATTACAGATGACAATGGTGATGCTAATGAAGATGGCGCTTCTGCGGATGCTGTTACTTTTGCTGCTGCTCCTGTTACATCTGCTTCTGCTTCTGCGTCAGGTTTGTTTAAGGGGTCTTGTGTGAGTGCTATCGTGGAGGCAACACTTTGCCCTGATTCTGTAAGTGCAGAGAGTGTGAACCCAGAGTTCTTTTCTTGTGAGGGAGAGGAGGGAAAGGAGGAACAATTGTTGTTTTGTGCAGAAGCAAGGGCCTTTTCTACGGACATATAGAATGATGATTGTGACCCTGTCCTTGGCCGAGCAGCTTTTGTTTCCTCTGTTACTGTTGTTGTTGTTGCTGTCGCCGCTGCTGAATGTTGTGTTGGAGACGAGACCGTTGAAGGCGTGGAGTTGGTACTATTGCCATGGGTAATGACACTGATACTCGGAGAGGAGAGTTTCAGTGACGGTGGAGGTGAGGGTGAAGGTGAGCTTGAAGGCGAGAGTGATGGTGAAGTTGGCATAATAAACTGTGAGCTGTTACTTTTGGGCGTTGTTGATGGTGATGAAAAATCGATATTTTGTTCCTGAAACAAACCCACGTTTCCTTCACAAAAGCCCTATTGCAAAAATGGAGGGAGAAAAGGTGTGGGAGGTGTGGGGAGAGGAGAGGTTGGAGAGGAAGGGGAAATGTTGGACAAGACGGAAGAAGTAAAAAAGGAAGGCGAGAGAAGGGGTGATGATGTTGAGACACAAAGAAAAAAAAAATGAAGACCATGCAGAGTATAAGTACCCGTGCGTGCATGACATTCAAATGTAAGAGCACGCCCACGCCAATTGTTTTTTTTTTTTTTTTTTTTTATTCGACATCATGCAGAAGCAACATTGTGAAAGAGAACTCGAGTAAAACGACCGTTGTTATTGTTTTTGCTTTTTTGTTTTTTTTTTTTTTTTCTCCTTCTCTCCTTGTCAAAAGGTATCCCAATCATTATCTTTTTTAAAAGAAAGAAAAAAATAATAATAGAGTAGCGGAGTGAAAGCGATGAAAGGCAATGCGCACCAGCCAGGCTAAGCCAAGCCAAGCCAAGCCCAACTCCAAGAGCCTAAAAGGGTGGTTCGCGTACACAGTCAGTCAACCCTATGCTTACCATGCAAAGACCACTTTCCAGACGTTCTATTAGAACAACCTGTTCTCCTGAGAATCCGGAATATTGCAACCAGGAAGTAAAAAAAAAAAAGAGAGAGAAAGAGTCAAGCAGATCAGATCCAGGCGATGAGAAGAGATAAGGGTTAAGCAATTGTAACGCACAGGTCAATTGATGTTTAAAAAACACGCAAGAACAAGCGAGAAGAAAGAGAAAGGAAAGAAAGAAAGGTTGGGAAAAGATAAGAGGAATGCGTGAGAAGTTGGAACAAGTGGGTGGATGAGAAAAGTAGGGAGCGCATGAAACGGACGGGCGCCGCAAAAGAAAGAAAACACAAGGGAAATTAAAACCGATGAAAGAACGAACAAACAAACAAATAAACAAAGTAAAGAAAGTATAAAGAGGCAAAGAGAACGAGGAGTGGTGCGAAAGGACCATTGTCAGTCATGCTTTCTTTCATTTTCATTTTCGTACGACAATCGGTTCTTATTTTCCACCCCTTCTGGAGGGATGGAAACACAGAGGGATATCAACCCCCAATTCTGCAAAAAAGAAAAAAAAAACATGCGCTCACCAGCAAAAATCAAGAGATCTTGAGGATTCTGGACCGGAACGTTACAACGTGCTACACCCTGTGCAATCCCTGTCAAGATAATGCCATCTGGCGGTGGGCGAAGTCGTTTGTTACAGTTGTTACAGTAGTTGCCATTAGAAAAGCCCAGTGGACGTTGACATTGTTTAATCGATGAAGTTATGGGAGGATATTAGTATTGACAATAGAGTTTGCGTTGGCAAAAGAAAAGAGCAAAAATGGAGGCATTGGCGTTGGCATTGGCATTGGCATTGAGATTGATGTTGGCATAAGCATTGATGTTGATATTGATATTGACAGCGATATTGACAGTAAAGAGGATTGACGGTGCACGATACAACGAAAAGCGAGAACGTGACATTGAGGACAAGAGACAAAAGATGACCGTGAGTAATTTGAAACTTGAAAGCAATTCAGTTTCAGGCATCACTTTTTATTTTATTTTTTATTTATTTATTTTTTTCTTAACATCTTTTTACCATTGGTCCGCACCTCGAAGCAATCTGATGGAACCTCATGGTCAGAGAAGTGCGATGACTGTGGCTCCATTCAAGAGAAGGGAAAGACGGAACGAATGCTGAGGAGACAGGTTGATAAAAAAAGAAAAGAAAAAAGAGCAAAGGCTTATGTATTCTTTCATAAAAGACAACAGAGACCCTTCAACGAGACAAAAGGAAGTAGCTGAAATTTATGAAAACAAAGAGGAAAAGAATGAAAAGAACAAAGTGAATTTGTGTCTGTAGGCGTGTATGTGTTATGGATGTATGTGTGTAAGGGAATGTGAAGGGCGTGGGGGTGAGAATATGATTGTATGAATATCTGAGGATAGAGAACAGACAAGAAAGAAAAGGGTTTTTTTTTCCAGAGAGAAAAGAAGTGACAGAGAGAAAGTGAGGGGTTAGGGAACAGGTAAACCTGCCAGTCAGTCAGTCAGTCAGCCCAGCCCAGCCCAGAGCCTGGCCTGTTCGGGAGGGAGAGGAATGAATGGGATGAAGCAAATGGGACAGTTGGAATCGACACAATTGACAGAGTAGAAGATAAACCAACAAAACCAGGAGACAAGGTGTGCAAGGAACCATTTCAAGCTTGATGTACGCGTTGACTGAACGGTGTTATTACACTACAGCTCCACCTCTACGGTTGCTACAACTACAACTTCTAGTTGTCGCATCTACTTTCAACTACAATGGAACCGGAAACGGAGGACAAAGAAAGGAAAAAGGCGCATTCTTCCTTTCTCCATTGTCTCTCGTTCCACCCTCCCTCTTGTTTGAAATCTGCGCATGGTTCAGCACGTTTCACAAAAGATCCATCCCTTGGAGACCGGCGCGAGTGGATTGGAGGAAGGATGCATCCAATATTGTGTTTATATGCACACATGTATTTTTTTTTTTTTTTTTTTTTTCGCGTTCTCAAAAAAGACGTGTGTATTGCCATGCCTGCATGTCCTGTGCCTCTGCTTATCGACTCTACCAACTCTATCGATCTGTTTATCTGCCCATCTGCCCATCTGTTCCTGATCCCTGGATCCTGACCCTGACCCTGACCCTGATTCTGATCCTGATTCTGTTGATCAGGTAGTTCTAAAAGGGAACCAACTGCCTACTCAAGCAACCAAGCAAACCAAATGAGTAACTCCAGCAGCAGTAGAAGCAGTGCTTTTTCATAGGATTTCTCATCTCGCCTCCTATTCTCTCTCGATTTCTACTCTTTCTATTACTGAATATGAATCATGTCATCTTTTTTGTTTTGCCGCGAGTAAATCCTCCCGAAAGGAGTTCCCGCCTTGATATTTATATTTTTCTATTGCATTCTATTATGTGTGTCATGAAGATTGAGAGATTGAAATAATTACTGATCATTTATTACTGTTTTTTTTTTTTTTTTTTTTTTTTTTTCACCCGCCAGGTCTCAATGATACCACATTAGCTGAAGAATAAGATCTGGGAAAAAAAAAAAAAAAAAAAAAAAACTCACTATCGTCCCCCCTCTCCTTCCTTAGCCCTCCTCCTCCTACTTCCTCCTACTTCCTCCTAGACAATTATTTGTTCGTGTGCTGCGTTTTATTTGATTATTTGATGACAGAATGACAATGATTGACTACACAAACAGTAAACACATATGACACTTCTTTCATCATCTCTCCATCTAATAAGAACTTTTCTTCCTTCTTTTTTTTTTTCCTTCCAAAATGAACGCGTAACTGAACCATGACATTGTGACTTCTTTATTCGGTCCTGAAACTAAAAGACCCTTTTTCTTCTTTCCAATGTCTGCTCTCAATTGCCTTTGTGTGACAACTGAAAGAGAATTGCATGAAAGAAAAAGAAAAAAAGAAAGATGCAACTTTTTCAGTCCATGTTTATGCAACCAGTTGTTAGGGCTTCTTTGTTCGGGTTCCAAACGCCAGCGTGTGTATTTTTAGGGTCTTACATTATTTATTTCAGTATGTACACACACACACACAAAAAAAAGGGCTACCCCCTTTTTTATTTACAATTTCTTGCCGCGTGCCTTGAGACCTTCTTCAACACGAACGCCCCAAGTGGGATCTGCCTTATTGAACAATGCAATCTGGCGCTTGATAATCTCAAGATTCTTGACCTTACTCATATGATCGATAAGATTACCCACAAGGTCATCCTGTTCTTTACCCTTCAATAGACGGTACAAGTTACCAGGCTGAACAAAGTCATCGTCGCTCTTTCGGAAAGGGTAACGGCCCGTAGCTCCATATAACTGTACAGAGGATGGCCTCACACGAATGTCATGATCCTGTTGCGCAGGCCCCTTTGGATCTCGGGACTGAGGCTCATAGTTGGGTGCATTGTTAAAGTTCTCTGAAAAATTCATAGGTCCATCACGTTGATAATTAGCAACGATGGTTCTGTAGGGCTGATTGATGGGTAGTTGCAGATAGTTGGTGCCGAGACGGTGACGATGTGTATCTGGGTACGAAAACAGACGCCCCTGTAGCATCTTGTCGTTTGTAACATCAATGCCAGGAACCATGTGTGAAGGCGAGAAAGCTGCTTGCTCCACCTCTGCAAAATAATTCTTTGGGTTACGGTTCAAGGTCAGCTTTCCAATCTTCTGGAGAGGATAGTCAGAGTGGGGCCAAACTTTGGTGACATCTAAAAATTTAAGGAAAGGTAGGGCAAAATAACATTCATGTTAATTCGATATCCAATGCAGTTTCCGCATCGACTGTATTCGATAAGCTTTAGTTTTAATCACAACAACTCACCAAAGACATTCCATCTATACTTGGCGGCATCTTCTTCCTTCATGGCTCTATTAGATAAATAAGAATAATAATAAAAAGTTTTAAAAAGAGTTTGCTGCCGCTCACGTCTTGCATTTGTTTACCATTGATTGAACAACTTACTGTAGATAGACAGTCCAAGAGGGGAAATCGCCCTTTTCAATAGACTCGAACAAATCCTCGGTATTGCTATCGGGATTCTCGGTATCGAGTTTCTTTGCCTCCTCTGCGGTATGGTTCCTGATGCCTTGATCGGTCTTGAAATGCCACTTGACAAGATGTGCAATTCCTTGAGAATTAACGAGCTTAAGTGTATGAGATGAATATCCATTCATGTGACGGAACGAATAAGGCGTACCACGGTTTGAAAACAGGATTGTGACCTGATGAAGTGACTCTGGTGTAAGTGATAAAAAGTCCCAATAAGCATCAGGATCCTTCAAGTTCGTCTGAGGGTTGCGTTTCTGAGTGTGGATAAAGTCAGGGAACTTGAGAGGATCACGGCTATGGAGAGAGGAATATGTCGATGAGAATAGGATCCATATTGATACATTACAAGGATGAATGTTTCTCTCATAGACAAGGAAGAGACTTACATGAAGAAGACAGGGGTGTTATTGCCAACCATATCCCAGTTACCCTCTTCGGTATAGAACTTCAGAGCGAAGCCACGAGGATCACGAAGAGAGTCGCTAGTTCCCTTCTCACCTCCAACAGTAGAGAAGCGTGCAAAGACTGGAGTCTTGATTCCGGGTTTTTCCAGGAATTTTGCACAGGTGAGCTGAGACAGATCCGCTGTCACCTCTGTTTGAGAACGAGTTCCACATTAGATCATGTGGTTTGGAGAAAAGTAAAGATGGAGACACCACCATTAATAGACCAATAGCGAGCAAGTCGGATTTCCCATAGGTAAAAAAAAAAAAGCCATGATGTTAAAATTTATCACTGGAGGGAATGATGTGACCACAATTAACTAAATATGTCCAATGTAGGGTGGATATGAGAATGCGCAGTACAGAACCATTCTGGTTCTCACGTCCCACAGCTATTGCCAGTCACCGGTCATTGATCTAGTCCTCAAGTGGTCAATGTAGACCCTGCTATATCGAAGAAAACTCTATTTCATTCCCTTTTTAAAAAAAAAAAACCTTACCAAAGAAACCATGGGCTCCAGAGCCTTTGGCATGAACAACACGCTCAGGAATACGTTCACGGTCAAAGCGTGCAAGCTTGTCGATAAGATGAAAATCTTGAATAAGCACGGGGCCGAACTCGCCGGCAGTCATTGAGTTTTGGTTATCATCCACGGGATTTCCTATTAAAAAAGCGCATGGTGAATTTAATAAGTACTTCATAGACGTGGGAAAATTTTAGACTGGCTTGAACTGACCATTGTTTGTGGTGAGAACGTTGTTCTGAGGTGTAGCAAGGATAGTAGGAGCTTCTTGGCCCATGGTGAGAATAAATTATGTTGTGATGGGGAGAATATGAAGGAAATGAGGAAAAAAAAAAAAAAAAAAAAAAAAAAAAAGAAGAGAAAAAGGAGAACGAGAAAGGAAGCCATCTTTTATATGTGTATTTCGATGATGTTAAAACAAAGTGTCCAAGTCCCTTGACGTCGTTGATGGATGTAGATACGCAGGCACAATCTTACTCCTCACAATTCAAATCTAATGCAAATGTGATATTGCGAAGCTTCATCTCGGCTCCGAAGTCCGAGCACTTTGGCATTTGACCGATCCTTGGATTTTTCTCCAAAGTTTTGCATTCACTACAGTAACATCATCATACAGGCACTAGTTTTCTTGCATCCTTCTTTCTTTCCTCGCTAAACCTGTTTTTGCACTATCAAGGGCCTATGGTGCACGACGTATGAATGAAATCATCATATTTTGAATCAAACATTAAACACTTTTCGGGTAAAGTTTATGGCCTCTTGATATTTTCGTGGCTTTTGGTCCCGATGATTGAGCAGATTATGGTCCGATTGTCCCTTACATGGCGATGGCACTATTCAAGTGAATATAAATAATATAAAATCAAATGAAAGACAGCTGAAGAGCATGAGGACTACTACTGATGATTACTTTAGATTTTAATATGAGGAGGATGGAGTATACGAACCCAATGTTGAAAAAAAAAAAAATAAAAGATAAAATAGAATTAAGGATGCAAAGCCGAATTTTCAGAGATCGCCACTAACTTCAATTATATTCCTTGTAGGAGACCGCTGCCTCCCTTCGCAATGGAGGTATACAGTTATCAAGATGTCACTGCTCTTTGCATATCTTCGGGCCGAGAATAGGAGCTTCGCAACACAACTAGTGCACGGGCCTCTAGGGAAAAGTATCATAAACTTTAAAAATGAAGTCCTTGCTGCCCCCCTGTAGATTTGAATGAGAGATTCCATTCTTGGCAAGCAGAACTGGTGAGATGGATCAGACGCTGGAGCTGGAATACACACCTCATCAGGCAGCATAAAAAGTGTATTCTCATCCAGACAGAAGGACGGCGGCCACGGAAGTCGGAGCCCGCTGAGAAAGGGACATGTAAAAACTCATTGGCAGAATGTCCTTGCCACTGAAAAACTGGATGGCGTACAAGCGGGCATGTTCGCCTATAATTCGCCACTAAGATGGAAAGTAAAGCCCCAGTAGGCAGGTAGGCAGGTAGGAGGTAGGCGTGGGAAGTTGTGAAAAAAGCTTCCTTTTTTTGCTTCTTTCTGAAGCAAGATGAGCAAGCCTTCTATCCTCGGCCTGCGTGATAGCCACGAATAAGAATATTTCATTTAGAAAGGAGGAAATGCAAAGTAGACATTCTATTAATGGAGAGACAAAAATATTATGCTCAATGAGCAGTCAGGAACGTAAAAAAAGAATCCTAAATCAAAAAAGAAAATTAGTCCCCACTCATCTTTCAGCATAAAGTTTTTTTCAGAACTTTGTTGGCCAACAATGAGCAGTCCCAGTTCCTTAAATTGCATCGGATGAGACTTGCATTCTTCTTTTCTTCAATCGCTTCCCGTCATTCTTGTTTTTTCTAAAAGAACAAGGGGGACGGGGATTTGCACGGCGAGAACCTTTCCCTCGATGTGAAACGGAAGGCGATGAGACGCAAACCGGACAGTGTAAAAAGCTTTTTGCTTCGACAGGTCCTTCATTGGGCCATTCGTGGGGCGAGAAGAAGAAAACCTGTCTACATTTTTCTCTTTTTATTAATATCTTCCTAGTCAGTTGAAATCCCAGATTCTTTAGATACATACACTCTCCTCCATCTGAACCATCATTTAAGAATTATAAATATCTTTAATTTACACTGCTGTTGCTATTTTCTTCCTCTTCTTTTAGATGCCTTTTCCACCAGTGACCTCCAAGGTGTGTCCGGTAATGTAGGATGCAAGAGGACTGCACAACAACAACACAGATCCTGCAGCTTCCTCGACCTGACCAGCACGCTTCAAGGGTGTGTCAGCAAAGACAACAGCTGGTGGAGGAGCCTCCTTCTTGGCACCCATAGGGATTCCAAGGGCAATCTTTTGTCCATCAACCACCATGGTCTCACCGTTCTCCTTTGCACGAGTCAAACGCGTGTCAATGTATCCAAACGCAACAGTGTTGCAACGAACTCCAAAGGATCCCCATTCCTTTGCAACCGTCTTGGTCAATCCAATAATACCGGCCTTGGCTGTCGCATAGTTGGCCTGACCAACATTTCCATGGAGACCGGAAGTCGAAGAGACCTAAAACATGGAACAAGGAAAATAAAAATTGTTTGTCAAGGGTAAAACAAAAATATATATATATAGCAAGTGTGCAATAAAGAAAAAAAAAAAAAAATTACATTGACAATGGAGCGAGGTTCACCATCCTTGAGACGCATGTAAGGGGCAGCAGCACGGATGATGCGGAAAGGAGCAGCGTTATGAACCTCGAGCATCAACTGGAACTGTTTGTCAGTTGTCTTGTGGAGCATGCCGTCAAAAGTGAATCCTGCATTGTTGACAATAATGTTGATCTTGCCAAAAGCCCTAGATGGTGAGGGGGAAAAAAAAAAAAAAAGAAAAAGAAAAAGATTAGGCCCTGCAACAAAAAGAAAAAGAAAAATAAAAAGTTATTGCAGCAACAACATACTTGATAGTTTCAGAGATGAGACGCTCGGGGAAGGACAAATCGGTGACATCGCCAGAAACAACAATAGCCTTTCCACCAGCTTCTGTGATCTGCTTGGCAATATCCTTACCCTTGGCTAATAAAATAAAAAAAATAAAAATAAAAAGGCTTTAGGAAGTGTAGATCTGAATCTGGTTGAAGGGCGTGTAATAAGTACTTTGGAGTATCAAAGCTTTTTTTTTTTTTTTTGCTATTGGGATTTACCATCATCGAGATCACTGACTACAACGGAGGCACCCTCCTTGGCAAAGAGAAGAGCAGTCGCACCACCGATACCCTGACTACAAAATATTTCACACGACATGTAATCAGTCAGCTCCTGTTTTGAAAGTATAAAATGGACGGATATAATATTGTCGTTTTTTTTTTTTTTTTTTTACCCAGCACCAGTGACGATAGCAACTTGGCCGTGCAAAAGACCACTAGGATGGGCAGCACTGCTGGAAAGGTGGTTCATGATGACCGAAACACGGTTAGCAGCAACAGAGGACATTATTGTAATGTATGGAAATGAGAATGAATGAGGTGAGTGAGTAGAGGAATGTTAAGAGTAGAGTGGAGTGGAGTGGAGTGGGAAAGAGAAAAAAAAAAAAAAAAAAAAAAAAAAGGAGGAGGAAAGAGATTCTTTTTTTAATAGTCTTTTCTTTCCCCACGACATTGTGGAGGAGTCAATCGTTGCAAACTTGCATCCGGATAATCTCAATTCCCATTGTAAGAATAAAAAGGTTGTCAGATGCCAATGAATAACCCAAGTCGACGGGTTGCCCTCCAAGAATGATCGGAAGTAACGAACAAATTATTTTCTAATTCTCCTCCAAATAGAGAGAAAAGACACGGCCACATGTTCCGAGTCCGATGAGGGGATGCGAGGGTCCAAGGACTTTGAACAGTGACGATCGGAGACAAAGAAGACTGGGGATGTGGTCGCGAGGTCTAAAGAGGAATGGCAATAATTTTGAGTTTCAGAAATGGCCCACTGGCACGCAAGGCCGATCAAAAACAAGATACAAAAATATTTTGCAGGTGTAATTATCCATGATGTCTTTACAGCCATACATAATACGTACAGGAACTCTCGTCTTCTGTCGTTCTGTCATTGTTGATACAAGAAATATATATAAAACATGAGGAAGAATATGATATGTCTATCTATAAATGTTAAGCCTTGATGGCAGGAGCATCGCCGCGTTCGTCCAAAAGCTCTTGGATGTGTTTGGTGACAAAGTACCGGGACATCGTTTGCTTGGACAAGAACTTGGCACCCTGAACGTTCTTCACACACTGCTCAGCACCGCACCAGCAGGTAAAAGGTTGATCCATCTCCCACTCGCTTGAGGGATAGAAAAAGGTCATGTTATCGCCTAGTGAACGTCAAAAAAAAAAAAAAAAAAAAAAAAAAAGGATGAATATTAAATAATACACAAATGAGTGCAAGGTAACAAATAAACGCGTCAAAAGTTGTAAAAACAAAAACGTACCCTCCTTCAAGTCGGTGACAGCGACTACAGTCATAGCATCAGTGTCGAAGGAGACAGTAGGGTTGCAGGAGTGGTTCATGAACACGACTAAGGAGCAATTTAGTATAAAAACCATAGAAGAAAGGGTTAGTAAATCGTATGTTGTACATGTACGTAAGGATAGATATCATTGTGCCTGATTTTCATTTTTATCTCGCGCTCTCTTTTTTTTTTTTTTTTTTTTTTTTTTTTTTTTTGGACTGGTAGAGATCTGATTATATGATTATATCAAATGGATCCCTAGACCATGCCATGAAACGTAAAATACGCCGTATTGAAGAACCCGGTACATGCCAAAGCACAAAAACAATAACCTGTAATGCAACCATCGCCTCAACAACAACAACAAAACAAACTAAATCAAATGCAAAAAAAAAAAAAAAAAAAAAAAAAAAAAACTACCGACACATGTCATCAATCCATTAATCCATTTGATCCGTTTGGTTCACCACAACAGTCGTGCAAAGCTTTCCGTTCTCGTATGAACCGTACATGCTCCCTTGCGACTCTTTTTGGATCTTGATATTGTTTACATATTGTTGTTATTGTTATTGTCGTTGTTGTAATTGCTCTTACTGTTGGTATCGTTGCACTTCACTTTCCCATTTTCTTGACGGAATCTACTCACACATCTCAGATCAACTCTTTTCCTTCTTTGTATGATCCGAGCGAAAAAGCCTCTCTTCATCTTCGTTGGAATTGTTTAGAAGTAGCTGTTGCCCATCCTTGTGGCCCCACGATGTCTTCCTTACTTTCAAATGATCAAATATAGTCGATGCCGATGATTGTTGATATTCCTGAACTGATCTTCCGAGTTCAACCTTGAGCTTTGGCTTTCGAGTTCTCTTCACCCACCCATGATATTCACGTAAAATTCACATTCATATCTCTTTCTTCCTCATCAAGGCAACCTTCTTCTTTTCGATCTCATTAATAATAGATACTGTTGGTATCATTAATAATAAAACTGACGAATTCATCGATTTTTTTTTTTTTTTTTTTTTTTTTTTACTTACGATCCGAATTAAACTCAATGTGATCTTCCTTTCCGACCTGAACGCTGGTATATTTCTTGGGTCCAGGGGTCACGCCCTCGACCTTGCAGATGATCTCGCCCTTGACATATGGCTTGCACGCCACTAGCTTGGAGTTGTAATCGCCCTCTGCATAGACAACCTCGAACAAACCTGGGTGAGTGGGTTTGTAGGCACTTTTGACTGCTGCAGCGTCTGTGATCTTCTCGACCTTGGTGTACGTAGTAGGCATGGTTGTGAGAATGAAATGTGTTTAAAGAAATGTATTTCTACTTGACTTGGAGGACGGATTTTCTTGTACAGAAAAGAAAAGAAAAAGAAAAGGAGAGGAAGTAAGGAAGTGAGGACGGATGGAAGGAGGGCTTTTTCAAAGTTGAGACCTTTATAAAGAAAACAGGAAACAAAACAAAATAAACTTTACTTAATGAAGTTCATTTCGTCACTTCGCAGAGGAGATTAGAGTATTCAGCAAGAACCTTGTGGATCTTGTTACTTGTAACACAATGCGAATACTTTTCTGTTGATCTCACACACTTCCTATGAACTGTTGCATGTAACAGTATATATTTCTAGACACTCATCCTCGACTCCTGCTAGTTCTTTTCCGCATCTCCAAAGAAAAAAAAAAAGCGTTCTCTTTATACATAGTTTCTGATTCACTTCAAAAACAATAAAAAGTAATTCACAGTCGACTCTTCATTTAGGAAATGCCTTGGGAACCAGCCCGTTTTTTACTGTGGAAAAAAAATTCTCTTTGAGAGTCTAGGAGATATGAATTGGCAAGCGGGGAAGTCGCAGTAACTACTGCTCCGTCGAATTAACTGGAAGAGACATCGCCGCTTTTTTTTTTTTTTTTTTTTTCCACAATAGATATCACTCACCATAGAGGAATAGATTGATCATTTAATAAATAAATAAATAAATACGTTTATTAGATCAGCAAAGTCTTGTCGTGCTGAACACAGATATCAACCACCTCATCACCCAACTGCCAGAGAACAATGCTATTTTAAGCCGGCGTTGCTTCGCTTCTTACCAAGCATGCCTTACTGTCAGTATCATTGTCATGAGACTTCCGAAATTTATCTCTGAAGGCCTTTCGAAGATTCCGAAAATTAGAAAAGTTGTTGAAGGCTCACTCATATTCCCCAAATACCTTTCCTAAAAAAAAAAATAAACCAGTTATTATTCTAATATACTATGAAGCTATATAACCTGTTATTGGCATTTAGATTCTATTTTCTGTTTCTCTCGATGGAGGTGAGAGAGCTATTAGATATTCCTAAAAAAAAAAAAAAAAAACTTTAGGCATTCATGCTTTTTTTTTTTTTTTTTTTTTTTTTTTTCGCTCGTTGCTTCATCTTGATCCACAACCTCTCTTTCACTTTTAGTAATTACCACTAGAGTAAATATCCGATTTTTACAACAGTAACTCATTTAGATTGGAGTTCTTTAGGAGAAGATCGGTTACATGTATATTAGTCCTGATCAATTAAGAAAGCAAATTGTCAAATAAGAAAAGTTCTTGCTATGTTTTCTGTTTCTTTATTATACAATACAAAAAAAAAAAAGAAAAAAAAGTGCATGTCTAATGCAATAGCAGTGTCAATGATAGCGATAATGTTTGTGATAATAACGGTAGTGATGGGGGATGGTGATAAAGAAAAAGAAAATAAAAATTGGTAATGAATAATAAAGGGAAATGCCAAAAAGGATTAATCAGACATTTAAGCATGTTTAGGGTTATCGAAACGCTTGTACGAATGCTTCTCATATGTCTTGAGTTTGTATCTGCGACGCTTACTATTACATGAAAGGTAGAAGGGAAAAAATAAAAACATTCACAGCATTAGAGCATAGTAAAGCATGAGAGGGCACACAAGCATAAAGGTACATGTAGTGCATATAGGACGTACGCGACAGGAACTCTAGGTTCGATAAGGTTACGTTCTACAAAGCTTTGGAAGCGGTCCTTCATCACACTGCCCTCTGGTTTGAGTTGTCTCAACGACTCTGAAAGTTCATCCTGCAGTTGAACATGTATCCTTTCCTTTGGGATACTATTGTAAGGAGAATACATACATATATACAAATAGAAAAGAAAGCCGTATTTAGTAAAAAAAAAAAAAAAAAAAAAAAAAAAAAAAAACGAGGAAAGAAAAGAAATCGTGGACAGACAAGTTCATTGGCACAATAAAAAAAAAACTTACTTGAACCGGCCAACACGCTTCATACCAGCCTTTTCCTTCTCTTCTCTCTTTTTCTCGCTCTCTAATCGCTTCTTCTCAGCTTCAGCTTCTTCCTGCTCAACAGCCTTCATGAGTTCTTTAACCTTATTAGTCTGCTTCAAGAGTTCCTTTTCTCTCTTGATTTCTGCCTCCTTCTTGGCTCTTTCGGCCGCACGCGCGAGACGGTTCCTCTCAGTAATGGTCTTCTTGCCTTTCTTCTTCTTTGGCGTTGTAGCATCGTTATTTTCGTCAGCATCCTCATCCTCATCCTCATCCTCATCTTCGTCTTCATCATCAGAATCCTCCAATAATCCACCCGTCTGGTCATCGAATGCTACCATTTGATCCAGTTCCTTTGGATAAGCTAATTTAGCCTCGACCTTCTCCCTTTCTGCCAAAATCCTCAATTCTTCCTCATGTGCAAGGCGCAACAACTCCTGATGATCTTGCATTGTAGGGTTATAAGAGGCACCTGGATGCGCCTCTTTAACAGCAGGAATAGCAACTTTCTGTTTTTGCTTGAATGACTTAGGTGCCTTGACTGTACCTTTAGTCACAATGTCCGAAATAAAATCGACCTCCATTTCCTTTGATTCATCATCATCTCCTTTTTCTTCTTCTCCTCCTCCAACAGCTATATCCTGTTCCTTTGCATCTTCCTTCTGATCCTTCTTCCCTGAGTCATCATCCCAAACATCAAAGCGACCGGCTGCCTTGACAGCATCTGTCATACCTGATCGTCCCTGAATCTTCGTGACAGGTGCAAAAAGTGATTGGGATGTCTTTCTCTTGATCATTTCAAGTAATCGAGCCTTCTCTGCTTTTGAAATCTTTGCATCCTTTTTAGAAGCTGCAATAGGTGTTGTTGTTGATGAGGCTTTCTTATGACCACTAACAGCTGGAATCTTGCTACGCTCTGCAAGGATCTCATCCATCTTTAAAGGGCGGTTCTTGCGGAGCTCCTTGATCACTTTACCATCACCTCTGGTATCTAATGTAAAGAGGCTCTCGTTTGACTGTTGGTGTACTTTACCACTGTAACATAGAAGTGCAATTAAGATTTGTATTAGTCCAAGGATGGCTGGAAATTATGGTAGAGTATCGTGAAGAAGGAAAAAAGAAGAGCTCCAAAGCTACAAAATACAATGCTCAATAGCATACCCGGTAGTACGTTCTTCGGCTCTCAATTCTTCCAAGTTGGTCTCTACATCTTTGATATCGATGTTCTTGCGCCAGGCTTTCTTGCCTTTGCGGGAACCTTTACGGTTCAAACCATTACCAGTCGGCACTGGCTTTTCAACTGCTGTGGACATATTACTGAAGTATATATAAAGGAAGAAGAGAGAGATTGGTGGGGAGTTTTGAGCAATGTAAGGAATGGATGATGAAAGTAAAACTGTTTAAATGTGGTCTTTTTGGAAGGTCCTTTTTACTTCAAAAAAAAAAAAAAAAAAAAAAAAAAAAACCAACCTGTTGTGGCTTTTATTTTGTCTATTCCAAAATAATTTCAAAGCTGTCACTTTTTTGGGTCTTTGTTGGCTCATGTGCTTCAACTTAATTTTTTTTTTTTTTTTTTTTCAACAGCGCACACGCGTCAGCATTTTTTTCTTTTTAACTCTCACATATTCATCTCTCTCACAAACACATACTCTCGTTTTTGTCCCTTTCTCAGCATCATATACCATGTCAGACCAACTAACCGAGAGTCAGATAGCAGAGTACAGAGAGGCCTTTGCTCTGTTTGACAAGGATGGCGATGGTACCATCACAGCCAAGGAGCTCGGCTCGGTTATGCGGAACTTGGGCCAGAACCCTACCGAGTCTGAACTTCAGGACATGCTCAATGAAGTGGACGCCGATGGCAATGGCAAAATTGACTTCCCTGAATTTCTAACAATGATGTCCCGCCAACCTGACACTAACTCTGAGGACGAGCTTAAGGAGGCTTTCAAAGTGTTTGACAAAGACAACAACGGTTTTATCACCAAATCTGAGCTTCGCCAAGCGCTCCACAACCTTGGTGAGAAATTGACCGAGGAGGAGGTCGAGCAAATGATTAGAGAGACTGACCGCAACGGTGATGGCCAAATCGACTATAAGGAATTCGCCATCATGATGTCGACCAAGTAAAAAAAAAAAAAAAAAAATCAATTCTCTTTCTTAATATAAATTTATAAATGCCTTTTTTTTTATTTTATTTTTTTGGTTTTTGGTTAGGAAGAGAGTAAGTCCATTAAAAAAAGAAAAAGTTCTTTTTTGCAACGCCAATATAAAACATGTATTGAACTTGAGAATAAATCGCTGTGCTGGACAAAGAAGCGAATACTCACACGCAAAACCAATGACGGAAGCCAAAATTCGCTTTTTTGAGCAAACAAGAGGGGCGAGGGGGCAGGTGTAACTTTCGAGGACAGTAAACAGAAATCGATTCCGCGGAGACATTTGGTTGAATAGATCTAATCTTTCTTTTTTAACCTGAGCACAACATTGACGCGTCGATATACGCGTCAAACAAAAACAAGCCCACATACAATTTCTGAACTACCTTTATTTACAACGTTTTTTAATTGTTTTATCTACTTTAAAATAAGCTTCTTTTTACATCGTTCCAATGAATAAAAAAAAAAATTGTCCAAGGGTAAGTTAAAAGTTAACTGAAAAGGGCGGAGGAATTTATCCGAACGTTTGCAAATTTTGCCCAGGTTGTCATGTGGAACTAACCATGGCATTTTGTGGGATATGTAAAGAACATGGTATTTGATAGTCAATGCAGTTATCACGTTTGGATAATAAAGCTTATTTCTCATCGGAACAATGCAAACTGAAAATGATAAAACGTTTTTTATTTATATTCAAAACAGACTCCCGTAAAGAGTGACGTTCACCCTCGATTCTGAAAGATAAGCTTCTCATTTTCTTTTGTGTATGAAATGGACAACAATGACTGCATCATGCCAGCAAAGCTTTCAAACGCTCCAAGCTCTTGGTATACATAAGAGTTCATTATCGAGCCGTTGAGGATGACGACAATGGTGAAATCAATTACAAGGAGCTCCTCGATAAAGCCCTCTCCGAAGCCACTAAAAAGTAATTCATTCCTTCACATACTTTATTCTAGAATTCTATGGATACATGGATTTATTATTATTATCTTTCTTTTACTTGGTGACACGGTCAACAACACCCTTGCCAATGATCAGTCTCTGGACTTGAGATGTGCCCTCATAGATTTGGAAGATCTTGGAGTCTCTGTAAAGCTTCTCGACAGGATATTCAGTGTTGAATCCTGCACCTCCAAAGACCTGGACAGCATCGCAAGCAGACTTGACAGCGACATCTGAGGCAAGAGCCTTGGCAATCGAGGCCTCCCAAGTGTTGCGATGACCATTGTCCTTGAGCCAAGCAGCCTTCCAGACCATGTTACGGGCAGCTTCAATACCAATAGCCATATCTGCAATCATAAAGCTCACAGCCTGATGGTCAATGATAGCCTTGCCCATTGTCTTGCGATCGACAGCGTACTTGGTAGCCTCGACCATGGCACGGCGTGCAAGACCAACTGCACCAGCAGCGACGAGAGGGCGTGTGATATCGAAAGCTCCCATGGCAATCTTGAATCCCTGACCAACAGCTCCCAAGCTAAGATCATAGTCACAAACATTTGAGATGGAAGAGATTTTAGAGTTGGATCACGACTGCTCCACAAAATGAGATATTGCAATGATCACATGTTATTTTGAAAACATAAAAATAAAAGACCTACACGTTCTCATGAGGGACTTCAACATCCTCAAAGGTGATTCCACGGGTATCACTGGCACGTTGACCCATGTTCTGCTCCTTACGACCGACAGTAATGCCCTTGGAGTTACCATCGACAATAAAGCCAGTGAATGCACTGCCAGCCTTGGCGTTAGCATCAGTCTAATCGAAGAGGGAAAAAAAAAAAAAAAAAAAAAAAAAACGATTAAAAAAATATCCGGGGTAAATCAAACAGATCCAACAACGGGAGGAGACCGTTCTCAGATATGACTGGGTGACTAAGCGCTCTCCTTTTTTTTTTTTTCCTGAAATACAAACAAGCTTTCTTCTTTGTATTCCCTTTGTGTATTCAATGTGTTCTATGCTCCGTGGACATTCTTCCCATTGTAAGCAGATTTTTTTCTTTACCTTGGCAAGAACAAAGTACCAATTGGCCTTTCCTCCATTGGTAATCCACATCTTTTGTCCATTAATGACCCACTTGTCTCCCTTCTTGACAGCCTTAGTTTGCAATCCAGCCACGTCTGATCCTGCGCCTGGTTCAGTAACACAATAGGCAGCCATGAGAGGCTCCTCTGTCATTCTTCCCAAGTACTTCTTCTTCTGTTCATCGCTAGCGGCGACCATGAGAGGAGCCTCAGCCAAACCGTTGGCCTCAATAGCTGTCTGGATACCAGAGCATCCATAAGCCAGCTCCTCGGAAACCAAAGCACCATCAAACACACCGAGGCCAAGACCACCGTAGGCTTGAGGAATGTGAGTGTTCACAAGTCCGAGTTCCCATGCCTTGCGGATCAACTCAGTAGGATATTCGCCTGTACGATCGTGATGAGCTGCAACAGGGATGATCTCATCCTCAGTGAACTTGCGAGCGAGTTCCTGAATGGCGCGCTGATCATCATTGAGAGCAAAAGAGATGTTGTGTTGGGCCATTGAGGTCGAGAACGAGCGAGCAGCCATCATCTGGGCAGGGGCCTTGATGGCGGCAACACGACGGATAGCGGAAGAAGCAGAGCGAAGCATTCTGTATAATGTATGATATTTGGTAGGAATGGAGACAAGAGGACAAGGATAAAAAAGAAAAAGAAAGAAAAAAGTGAAGTGAAGAGAGGAATACAATGAATAAATGGAGTCGTAAAGTTTTTGCATGTCATTGCCGTTGTCGTGTTCTGTTCCCTGAAAAGGACACGTGAAAATAGATCTTTGAGCTTTAAGTTTTAAGTTTTGCACGTGAGGGCCTATAAGTAAACCGGCCCTTAAGACTTCCAAATATACCATAGACTTGTTTTGTTTTTGTTTTATTTTTTTTTTTTCTCTTTACTTTTTTCTTTGACCAGGAGACCACACGCAGAATCGCACATTGAAGCAACACAAATCTACGATGAGGCTGTTTGTTAAACAGACCTCAACCGAAACATAATTGCAATGCTTTAGGGAAAGTCCCCGGACCTCATGGTAGAAAGTATCACCAATAATGACTGGTCTGTCTGAGTCGCGAGAGATTTGATCGTTTTGATCGGGCTGAGATCGCTTTCTCTGATTGCGAGATGCTCCTCAACGATCTGATTTCGTGGTTCAGTGATTGTCATCATGTTACAGTTATGCGATTGTGGTTGTCCTTCATAAGATGATCATAACTCAACGGGGCTCACTCGCGACGTGGTCTCCTTGGTCAAAGAAAAAACTTTTTTATTATTATTACTATTATTATTATATTATTACAATTGTATTTATAATTAAACTGCAATAGGGCAATAGGGCAATAGGGCAATAGGGCAATGGGATGAAGTCTGAGTAGATAGACTAGGAAGAGATGAGGTGAGATGAGATGAACTGGGATGAATTGAGGTCAACTGAGGTGAACTCAGGTGGGTTGGGACGGGAAATACTAGAAGAATAAGAGGGTTGCTGGATGGAGTATCAAAGGGGAAACTAATAAATAAACACATGCCAAGCAATAGTTGAGTGCGAACCAGAATATACCGATAAACATAAACTTGCAAAATGCTTTGTGAACAACTTGCCTAAATGAAACGTCAAGAGGATCCAAGCTCTAAACACCGCTAGATCCTTTTTGCATAGCTTTCTATATTAATCCATGTTCCTGGATGCTTCAAGGCTAAAGAAAAGAGAGAGGAGCAGCGTTCCATCGTATACAAAATGTGTTTAAATGATTGACTCATTTCAACCTGAAATCAAGTGTCATTACGGCATTGCGCAAACTTGATAATTAGAAGCCGAGGCTAGTAATACTAAAATAAGACTAGTTATCGTTTGTTAATCAGACGATGGAGATATAAAAATAATAAACAACCATACATGTATTAAAAATGTACCTTGAAGCATGATGACAATGACCAAGAATGCCGAAGTATGAATGCTAAAAAAAAAAAAAAAAAAAAGAAAGAGAGGGATGAGGTTTTTACCATACCGCTGACCCCTCCATGTGAATCATGGCTCTCATGGCTCTCGCAATGTTCAACGCGCCTGTATTCCGAATATAGAAATAAGGAACATGGTTTGTCCAACTGGTCCTTTGCATTGCATTGTCCGACCTGCATGTTCAACTTTTTATTCCCGGGATATTCTCCCTTGCTCCTTCCGATGACGCTATTGTGCTCATTTTAAATGATTTTTTATATCCTTTAAAAAAAAAAAAAAACTTCAGTGGTTTAAATGAAAGAGCATGTTCAGCGTTGACCATTATTAAGAACATCGACTTTTATGACTCTTCCTGTACAATTACCACGACTGCTGTTCTTTTTTTTTTTTTTTTTTTTTTTTTTTTTTGTCGATATGCACACCCGCTATGATGCTGTTCGACCTTTATGACGATGATCAAAATCTTCATTAATTGCGGCTGAAAATGTTGCCGCAGGCATATATACTTTCATTGAGCTTGCGCAATAATAAATATTATAAAGAACATACACGTTTCATTACAGAAGGCGAAGTCAAGAAGGAACAAAGTTGATTCCATCTTTGAGCCTCTCTTTGATGCCCTTTTTTACTATTTAGTGTTATTGTGACGGGCTGCGGCGGAATGAAAAAAAAAAAAAAAAAAAAAAAAAGCGCCCCTACATGTCAGGGTCAATGACAGGCTCTCTGGGTTTCCAAGTTATTCATATTCCTTATCGGTCCATTGCAAGCCCTTGCGCTTTTGTCATCGCTCATTAACACTATTTTCCAGCCTTCAGGAGATAGAGAGTGGGTGAATAACAATGTCGGCTTTATTAACGAACTAAAGTCGCTGATGGCACATGGATAGTCTCTTTTCTGTATTCATTCACGCATTCCCATATTTTCATGGCTAAAACTTCTTTCTCCTAAAAAAAAAGGTCAATGCCCTCTTACTCCTTGATCTGTAGTGGTCACAGTCAATGCAAAATCCACCATCATTTTGAATTTTTTTCCTTTGGATGGTCAACAGATAAGCATTCAATATGGATAAGTTTTTACGTTTGGATGCATGATTATTTCGCTCTTCTCATATCGGGTCCCTGCTCACAATAGTTTTTTGAGTGCACATGTAGACAAACTGAGTTGCCGCCAGAGAGCCATGCTCTATGAAAAAATAAATAAAACAAACCTCTATTTAGTGTAAGGATCGCCTTATTTTGGTGTTTGTTACATGCAGCAAAGCAGGGGCACAAGACATACAAGGCTATAATGGCGAATACAGTCCGCCTCTTCTCTTTTTCCATCGGTCCATCAGATCCAAACATGCAAATATGCATCTTATTTATTCATTAAATATAGACATACTATTGATTTCATTTCAAAAAGAAATATACATCTTTACTTCCTGGTATGTTGCATCGCCTCCAGCCGATGGTTTTGAGGTCGAACGTATTTAAGTATGGAGATCTTTTTTTTTTCATTTTTTCTCTTTCATCTTTATCCTCTTTTCTTTTTCTTCATCACTTGTCTATATCAGACGCTAATAAAGCCAGTCCTCGCTCCTTGAAACACCGCCTAAACACTTGATATTTACACCTCCACTATCTCTATCAACCCAAATCTTTCTTTTTATATAGTTACTATACCAATCATGGGATATTCTTTTGATATCGAACTTGATACTGAGCAGCCTTTTATCATTGAGCTCGACAATGAAGAGTACAGCACACAGACAATCAGTGGTGTCCTGTCCTTGCAACTTTCCCGTGCAGAATCATTCAAGACTGCCACGGTTGCTATTCATGGCCACAGTAAGGCGAACAAAGTCTCAATACTATAGTAAATGCTTTTCCCTCCTCGTTCGATGTCACTTGATCTTACAATATGTCATATCATTATTGGTCTTTTATTTGTATAGTCGGGGCTATGCTAAACATCGATACACCTGCACAAGGGCTTATTCGTGAGACATTAATCTCCTCAGAGGTTGATTTGGTCGCTGCAAACGACACAGATGGCCGTGGAGTGATCCGGTTAGAGGAAGGCCAACAATATATCCCTTTCCGAATTGATATTCCTCAACCTGGAAAACTACCACCGACATTAATCAACAAACTGGATACGCCTTATATCGACTGGAAATATGAGATCCATGCCACATTACGCCGCGATTATTTCTTCTCATCGACTCGTGTTGTCAAACATGATTTGATCTTACGTCGGCCGATTGAACCAGCCTGTGATAGCAATCTGACCACATCCATGGATCGTCCTGGACAGTATCGCAGTAAATTGACTGTTCCTGGTAGAATTGTCTTGGGACAGGATCGATTGTTGGCAAAGGCTGAGATGAAGGCAAGAAACAAGGAGTTCATGATCAAGGACGTCGACTGTGCGGTCGTGCAGATTGAAGATATTGACTATGTTACAAGGAGAGGTCATGAAGTCGAGAATGCGTAAGTTGTCTTTCTCTTTAATGTCATTTGGTCTGTTCATAGTTGTTTTTCCGCTATTGCCTCTTCTTTCAAGAAAAAAAGACGTCATCTCGTTCAGTTTGAGATGGGAATCCTGCATGAGAACAGCATAAAAATCACCCCTGTGTGTGTCTTGTCCCACATACAAACGCTCAGGCACACAAACAAACACAGGGCTTTTTTTTTTTTCCGTTTTGTACTTTAGTCTTGTGAGCTGGGAGAAGCAAATTTTAGACTCCCAATGACCCAAATCTGCCAAATTGGGATTGTCTCACACAGCTCTTTGTACACAATCACGTTTTTAACCTTTTTTTTATTTTTTATTTTTTATTTTTTATAGGAACGTACCTGGTGCTCATTGCACAGTCAAGTCATCCCGTCTAGTTTCATCCATTGTTTGTGTAGCAAATGAAGAGAATGATATGGATTTCGGTCGCTTTTCGCCTATTGAATTTGATCTCCGGCTCGATAATGACCAATTGATCCCAACAGAACATGGTCTAGGATGGCTCAACATTTCACATGTACTTCGTTTCACTCTCAACTTCATGGATGTCAACCAGCCAGCCCTCATCACAGAAGTTCCTTTGTTTGTAGGCAACGAAGTCATCTCCAAGACTTGCTGTCCTGCAATCAGACCTCAAGACTCATCTGCACGATTGATTAGTTCCTTGAAAATTGATGGGGCAGAAGATCATCACTTGCATGGATCCAAGGAATCAACGCCAGAGCCTGAGGATTAAAAAAAAAATGGATAGTGTCATTTTTTTTTTCCTAGTGTGTTTTCACATTTAAAAGTTACCCATTTCACCTTAATAAAAAGTCTTTAATATTCTTAATATGTAAAGGACTATTTATTTTATTTATCATGTCTATGGCTGGAGATGGTATGGGGGTATTGGGTCCAAGTGAAATTGTGAAGCGTCAAGCGACAGCCCCCGCTAGCCTGCTTTACTTCGGTCTAATGAGTTTGTTTCCTTCTCCAAACAGCTCAAACAGATCAAGCACTTTCCATCTTATTCGATCCGCCGTGTTTGCCCGACCTTCCTCTACTTTTCATTACTTGTACTTCACCAATAACTCCATTTAGTTTCCTTTCCTTTGGTCCATTGAGCTTTTTACTCCTCCCTCATCATCAGCAGCTCGAGTACTTCTTCTTTTTGTTGGTTCGCTACCTTGGTCTGCTATTCTCATTTCTTTGACTTCTAACACTTTTTGACCTATTGATCTTTTTTCCCCGGTTGAGTTCGAAGCTTCTCCTGTTCTGTACCAAGCCCACTCGAGATCTTCAAGGCAGGGATTTGCTCTGAGAAAAACCACATACATTTTTGAAAAAACGCCCGATATACTCATCAGTCCATGACATGATAAAAAAGCGATAGAAGTGGCTGGGTAACCGTGAGGTCATCTCACTTGAACCAAAGTCCCTCCTACAATATCAAACCCAAGTTCTACACCTTGTCCAAAGCAAGTAAGGGTTTAGGGCCCCTTTGATACTGCTTTGAGAGGACCCTGGATAGACTGAATCGGGCTTATAGAGGCTTATAGGAAAAAAAGGAAAAGGATGTCATCAATTAAGTTTGTCAAGCGTTAAAAGGCACGAGAAACGGATCTGTCCTGGATCCACTCCCAAGGACCTGGACAGACTTGGAGCAGTATCCATTGGCTAAGGACCATTATACCTTTGGGTGAGCTCAGATAACGTGATAGGATAGACACACGAGCATGAGGCAGGCAGTAGGCCATCGATATAGCAATGCTGTTGCTTAATCAGTGATCAAGCTTTTATCGATACTCGAGATTCTAGAATAAATGCGAATGATGTCTGAGGTAGCAGCAGTGCATGGCAGAGCACTTGGTTAAGCAAGTTGAAAATTTTAATAAATTTTAACAAGCATGCTGAAAAATCGAACCAGCATGCTCGAAAAAAGGACCGAATTAATCTATAATGGATTATGCACAATCACCAACAATCCAAATCCTTATTTAAATTCACATCCATACGCATTCATTCATATTTAAATATACATATATATATATATATATACACTCACTTACTCTTTTCTCTCTTTCACTTACTCTCTCTCTCTTTTTACAATTAGTTGGATGTATCAATTGCCAATATTCATAGCTTTGGACAGCAAGAGATAAAAAAAGAGCAAAATAAACGAGCGCACCTGTTGGATCATTGATCGCTCCGTTGTTCTTTTTCATTTTATCGTTGCCTTAAATAAACGTCTCCAATTATATTGCATAGCCAGCCTGAGGACGAAGTTCACGTGCACATGCACGTACTCAAAGGCAAATGTGGCTTGCTCTTGCAGACACTTCTCTCTCAGGCTGGGGACCAAGCTTGACATTTTGGCTGGAGGTCTCTTTTTTTAAATTTGAAAAAGTTTCCAAGTCGAAAACACGCCGCAGGAAAGGCTCTTTTTTCTGCCATTCTCGCTGCAGAAAATGGCTTTTTTTTTTTTTCAAAGTCCAGACTAGGATATTGATTTGATCGAGAACGAACGAGGAATGAGAAAAAAGAATGGTATATTTCGCGTAAAAAGAGTCATCATGCTCTAATTAATCAATTATTTACCTTTAATTAAGATAGTGTGCTTAATAAGGTCAGAGAGATGGAAACGAGGATTGTGGAGTAGATCAAATGTTAGAATAATAAAATGTTAGAATAATAGATGGCAATGCAGATGATGGAAACAAGAGACGATTGGTAAAAATGAGGCTAGTGATTTGGGTGTGTGTGTAGGACCGTTTAAAAAGCGCCATCCGTTTGTCAAAAGGGCAAGTGGATAGTGATGGCTTCGTTCATAAAGGATGAACGATTGTAAAGGATACTCAATAGATGTGGTATTTTCATTACAGACAAAATTCCTTTCACTTGATTGACATTCGACTCTTTTCTTCATGCTTGAACCTCGGCGATCCTCCTGCATATGCGGTATTGATGCGAGTTTTTATGACATGCTGTCCCGCATGTTTTAAATATCTAGGTGTTGCCTTAACACTCTGATCGTTGTTGATAACGAGCTCCTAAACTTTAAGCTTGACGTGTATGTCGCCTGGGACCATGGAACGGAGGAATGTGATATTGTCACTTTTCTCCGAGGTTTGATCGGTTTCTCTTCAAGCATGATCCAGTAAACATTATCAATCATCTCCTTGAATGATGCTTGCTTGATCGGATGCTCCTCTGATGTTACCTGGAATGGCTTGTCGGGCCCCAACACACAACTTATGGGTGGAAAGATAGGAATAGACAATAGAAACAACTTGCCACTTGCTTGAGAAAATTCTGATGCAGCTGCGGCAATCCGCTTGGTGTGGTCACTTCTCCTTGCTCAGGTTTATTGAATAGCGATATTTTAATTTATCTATTAGTGCTATATTACAAAACTGTGTCTGTGCCATTGTCATAAACAATGGCGAGTAAAAAGAAGTAAAAGAAGCGATCGCTACTTTTTCCTTGGTCCCTTATCCCTGCTTGACCTATTGGGCTTGTCGTCCTCCGCTTGCACTTTTTCTTTTATTTGATCCGCTGGGTTTGCTCAGCTCTTCCTTATTTTCCATAGCTGTAGCTTTATCGACAATTCACTTGATGTCCTCCTTGCCTGTGGTTCTTTGGGCTTGCTTCCTTCTCCCTCATCCCCCACAACTCGGGTCAATTCTGACTTCTTGAAGGACTCCCTTGCACTTTCAAGGAAGTTCAACAAGCTAATATTGAGTACGTCGTTTCTATTCGTTTGTCTTTGATGGTAGGAACTTCTTTGACTTTAGCTAGCGAATAATCACCCTGTTCGTGATAAGACAACATGATAAGGCAGCGTGATAAGTAAGGCCTAAACAACAGCAACAAGGATATGCCATTCGAGCAAAAAGCCGAGAGAAGACGGTGGTGAGAGGTGTTCTTTGATGCAATTATGGCAAGTTGTATTGTGGGCATCCTTAATTCTTGACCTTATCGCCGATTTTTGACTGTACGGAACCAGGATAATATTTACCCTCCGATTCCAGTACAAAGACGATATCTGGTCCAGATGGGTTCTCTTTTGGAAACAAAAAAGAGCGAGATTAACTTGGATTCATGTATTGAGTCTTTGTTACAGTGAGTATCCAAGAATTCGTTCATTGTTATAATTCTGGAAGATTGAAATTAACAAAGCGGGACTGAAATACTCAAAATGTGTGCCCTTTGTGCCAGACGTAGGGGAGTCATCGAGAACTTCTCGATATTCCTTGAAGCTTTGCCAGTTCTCTTAACCCAAGCAGGATCATAAATACAAAAGCCTATCCCGCAAGGAACTATGCAAATTCGTGGTAAATTCTCTGATAAACCCTCCAATCCATGAAAGAATGCTGATAATATTGGTCGCTTAGTGTCGTTGTTGTTAATACATTGGTATTTAGCCTCCCCATATCCTGCGCCTCGTTCAAAACAACCAAAAACATAGAGTTGCTTTGATGCCGCTCCGAAAGGACCCTAATTAGATTGTCGAACCAATCTCGCAGGAGCTTGTCAAGGCAATTAAAGCAAACTCCACCAAGTAATTCTGCTACTTTTGTGAAGAACGCTAGGAATAAATCTGTCCTGGATGGAACCGAGTTTCCTCAATGGACTTCTCCAAGGACCTGTGGACACACTTGCAATAGCATCCATTGGCTAGGCGTCATTCTACCTTCGGACAAGTAAAAAGGGTAAATTGGCCGAACATACAACTAATATGATCTCATTGGCCACAGGTTGCCATCCCGTGCACGCGCACCATGGGGCTAAAACGACATTTATGTCTTTAGAGTGGAGCTGTCATCCTAGCTCCCGGTAAACGTTTTGGCGCCCTGGATGATGATAGTTGATAGGTCTTCCGCAAGTGGCAAGCATCCAGATGACAAAGCATACGAGAAAGGATAATTTCCTATGCCAGCTGTCCTGGTGATAATAATATGGTTTTGGGTCTCATCATCAGACTCTCACTGGGTTCTCCACAGGATTCTTCATCTCTATCCGTTTTTACAAAACTCTTTGATAATAGTATCACAAAATCCTGCCTTTTCTTGCACACAAGATCGCACAATGATCACAGCTTTATAAAGTTCTAAATGCCCCAGTAGAAGGGAGGACGGATTAAACCGCTCTATTTATTCGTCTAGAAGGTAAGTGGATAATGATGGCTTCATTCATAAAGGAAGAACCATTGTAAAAAACTCTCAAGGAACGGGTATAATGCTTTTTTTAAAAAAAGACAAAATTTCATCCACTTGATTGGTATTCGATTTAATTCTCCAGATTCGTACCGGCTGATCCTCCTGAATATGCAGCTTCGATGTCGATTTTTATGACACGCTGTCTTACATGTTTCAAGTATCCAGGTATTGCCTTGGCATCCTGACTATCGTTAATAACAAACTTCTGAACCTTAAAATTATCATATATGTAACCTGGTACCACAAAATAGAGGAAAATAGTATCATCACTTCCCTTCGACTTTGATCGGTCTCCCTTCGACTTTGATTGGTCTCCCTTCAAGCAGGGTCCAGTAATATAATCAATTATCTTCTTGAATGGTGCTTGCTTGATCGGATGCTCCTCTGATACTGTGACCTGAAATAGCTTGTTGGGTCCCCATGCAAAATCAATGCACGGAAATTTAGAATGTTCTGGTACAAACAACTTGCCAGCTGCTTTAGTGAGCCCTGATAATTCCTTTGAAGTCCGGATAAACACCTCTTCTGGATTTGCTGGAAAATCAAGAACTCCTGTTTCACCTGACTGGAGATCCCTAAAGGGAAATCTAATATCACCACGTCGAAATAAGTGATGAG